TGTATTAAGTATTAAATTGCTTATTTTAAGTATGGTTGCAGTAAAATATTGTTTCACCGTTTTGGTTTCCATGTCAGTGCTCTGACACACAGGAGCTCAGACTGTCAGTATCTTTGTGGGGTAAATGAAACAAATTAATAGGCCCATATTCACTGCTTCACGAGATTCCCTGGGAAAGAGCCACGCCCACCTCGGCGAGGTCAGGGAGCCCCTGACGGAGATGCCTCGTGCAGTAATTAGTGAAAGTTAAAATGGAACGGCAGTGGGACGAGGGAAACCGACAGTTATTAGAAGCACATCTTCGCCTACAGCCGCTGTGTAGAATGTGCACCTGCGGGGGGGGGGGGGTCCTGGGCGCGTTTTTCTTGCCGCTAGTTTGATGGCCGCTTCGGGGACGCACATCAAAGAGTGGCAGGCGAAAAAAAAACAGGTTGCAGGGGTCCTTGCGCACAGCCTGCCATCGGGCTGCCTGAAGGACTACCATGGAAACAAGTAGTGTGACAGGCCCTGGGGGATCGGGCACAGCTGCTGACGCGCCCCTGACAGGCCGATGAAGACATCAGCGCCGCACTGCGCCGACCGCGCGGAACACACAGCAATCTACCCAACTCGTGTTAGCCGCTTTGTAGCTGAAACTCTCTCATTCGTACCAAGGGGACTTTGATACGTCCTTAGCTGGTGGCGCTTAGATTCATGTGCATGTCCCAGGAGGGCCAGTTAATTTATAACGATCATATCCCTGAACATGGTCACCCGCATACTGAGAGCTGTGAACGTCCACTGACGACAGAACAGGCCGCTCTTGCAAACCTGAGACATCATCCTCCTTGTTGGGCTACCCCTTCATCTGGTTAAAGAGAAAAGACCAGTCCCAGGTTCAGCACAGTTGACGTGACAGGTGGGAGCACAAGATCACATTGGATCTCACCCCTGTTGATGCCTGGAGAGTTATTTAGCGCAGTAATAATCCTGCTTGCTGGCAGGCCCAGTCTCTCCCTAGCTCCACAAAGCCATGTATCTGTATTTATCGATATTTGGCCTTGGAGAGCAGCTTGGTGTTTTCGGAATAAAATAAGTTGTTGTCAAAAAGGAAACTGTCAGTCATACACTTTGTTGTAAATGAGCAGGTTGTCTTTGAGAAATGAGTATGTTGAACTAATCATCAATATTTCTGTGTAAAATGCTTCATTATGGCTGTTTCAGTAACAAAAATCCTGTCTTATAGAGCCCTAATCCTTAAGTACAACATATTAATAATGCTTATTCCGCTGAATGCTGCCCACTCATTAGGAGTGTAATTATTAGACATTAATCATGTGTCATTTAGCCTCCCTGTCTGCTTAGGCATGGGAGGTTTGGGGAAGGCTACCTGACTATAGTTTTCCTGTCCGGGTGGGTTTAACACCCCCCACACACACACACACAGGTTTGTAATTATATCTTTGTGGGGACTCTCCATTCATTTCTATGGGGAAAACTCAAATCCCAACATGACAACCATAACCCCTACCCAGCCCTAACCCTAACCATAAGTAACCAAACAAAATATGAGAATTTTGGCATTTTTAGTTTTTTTGATTGCATTCCTGAAAAATGCTTCCGACAGCATCAAAATAACTGGTTTTTATCACAATGTGGGGGCCATTTGGTCCCCACAATATAATTTAAACATAATCCACACACACATACATACACACACATACACACACTGGTAGGGTCACATGGACTCCCCCTCACTTTGAGGCACCTCCCCCCCCCCACCCCGTGGCAGTTCCTCTGAGGGCCCCCGTGATGTCTCTATCAGCCTGTCAGGGGGGAAGGGGGGGGGGGGAGGGAGGAGTGCCTGGGGCTCCAGCAGGTCCCTTTGAGCCAGTCAGTCTCCTCCAGCACCCCCCACCATGTTTCCCTGCCACCCTGGATGGCCTGCATGGGGGGCAGGGTGAATGGACAGAGAGAGACAGTACCATGGACTGTCATCAGGGGGCACTAGCAGGAGACACCACCACAGCTCGTTTCACCAGCAAACTTGAGGAATGTAACAAATCAGCCTTGTTATTTTTTTTATATATAAAGCTCCAGAGTATTTATTGCATATTGCTTATCAAAGAAAAGGGAAGGATGCTCGACCCAGTTGCTCTCTGAGTGACAGAATTCGAAGACTCAGATATAACCTTTTACATATATACACAAAAAGACAGTGAAGACACCCTGAATGAATTCATCTTAGCTGTAATTAAGATATTTGTTACTAATACTATTGTGGATACATTTACATAGAGTGACAGGGTTCCCAGTTGATTTTAATGGAAATTCAGGTCACTAAAGTGCTCTCTGTGACAAGGTCCTCATCCAGCATGTGTTCCTGCGTGAGGGACGACAAATCTCAGGCTGGGCCACTTTGCATGCCTGTTTCAGCATCGAGGACCAAGGGCTCTGGCTGGATGAGACTGTCACATGACAGGATCATGCCAGCCAATCAGTTCTGCTCAGTTACTGCTTGGCTCCGCCCCACCCCAAGGACAACACAAGATACCTCTGTATCCAACAAAAAAGGACAAATAATTTCAACCCCTACCTTTTTATTATTACTATTATTATTTTATCTTATTTACAATAAAACCCCATAGTTTTCAAAAGATTAAGAACAAGAGAGAGGAACATATATAATTTAATAGCACATATATATATATGAATAATAACATAATAAGCAGTGCTTGAAGTGGGAAAAAATAAGTGCAGGAACTCTAATTTTCTCGGGCCACTGTCGCTGCGTCGGATCAGTTTCAGTAAGTACCGGAACGCAGGAAAAAGTGGCGGAACCCAAAAGACGAAAATACAGAAGTTCCGGAACTGCGTTCCGCTGCGTTCCGCTGCGTTCCGGCCCACTTCAAGCACTGATAATAACTGTACAGTCAACAATAAAAGAGAACTTGACCCTTTGAATCCTGCTGAATCTGTATGATGTTCTGTGGGTAGGAATGATAAATCGATGGTATGTATAAAACAAAGCTATTTAGTGGTATCCTTAAAAATCATCACATAGTAAAAGCCTGCTGACTAGGTCATACATAGTTTACTTGCAAGAAACCATATTTTCTCAGATAAGGTTTGACACAATTATAATTCTAATTTGCAGAGTGATTTTATACATTCATTCTCAAAGTGGAAGGACTATGTCAGTGGCAACACCTTCAATAAATGTCATTGGTGTGCTGCTTCCTGTAATGAGAAGTATACGGTAAACATGCCAGCTTTGCCACTGTGAAGGTCTCAGTGATTGCAGCCATTCCCATCCACAGAGTCTCAGAGCTGCCCTCCCAGACAGTGAGACACAGCTTGGTGCGATGGCCTCCCCTCACCCCTGACAGACCAGAGAAGAGAGAGGTGGAGACTTCCTGCTTCATGGAAGCTGAGCGGAGAGAGTTCTCACACTGTGCCTATGGAGTAGACCTCTTCTTCTTCAGTGGGCTCTGGTTGGCAAACATCCTTCCCTCGCTGAACTGCACCTGTGAAAACAAGCGTGCACGGTGGTTGGACAGTGGTAATCCGAGCTCAGCTAGAGAGCGGTAATGGTCCCCCTGCGGAGGGCCTAGCCAGAAGAGCCGTGCGCGCCCTCACCAGTAATGAATCAGGGCACAGAGGGGATTAATCACAGGGAAGGAGCCCTGGAGATCTCAGGCCTTCCCTAACGCTGGTTCCTCTGAAATCCCAATATTAAAAGCAGAGTCTGACCGCTGAGGGGATCTGCTTGTGAGAGGCTTGTAAAATGTATAATGGCTCATTGCCAGTTGTGTCGTTTCAAAGAGAGCTTAATCAGAGCCAGGGCTGACCTCTGACATAGGCATACTTCATCTTGGACGCCCGGTCCAGGACGTGCACCATTTAGAAGTTGTGTTAAGCTGAGCTCTTCTGTTTCCACCCGAGGTTCATGTTTGCCTCTTTTATTTCAACAGTAAAATAGGCCTGGAATTTGACCCAAACTTTCACCCGGTTTCCTATAAGTCAGATTCTACTGGATTTGGAGATACTTAGTCACAGATCATTCTTTCAAATGCAGATTTCAAGACTGATGTAAATGCCTACAAGAACATTATTTTCTGAAGTATGAATGATGAATGTAATAATGTATTCATCAGCCAGCATGTCTGGAACAAATGTTTTTTGTACTGTAATTATATTTCTAAGAGTCTTCGTTTCACTATATATATTGCTGCCATAATTAGGCTGTACATTAATACTGCAGAGATGGCTTGTCCTGAATGTGCCCCTAATGTGGTGTATACCTTATATTAAATATTTATCCATGCTTTGTTACAGGTCATGGTAATAGACTGCTTATCATTTGTTTGTTAATCAGTGTCTTGCAAAAGAATATAGTGGTACCTCAGTTCTCTAACTCATTAAAACTCGAATTTCTTAAAAGTCGAACCATCCACTTCGGAAAAAAATTACCTAGAACTCGATCTGAATCTCAGAAGTCAAACCGTGAACGCCGACCTAAGATAACTTGTACACGTGGGGAAATGAGTCACGCGGCATGTCTCTCAGCGGAAACAAAGGGTAATGCTTCAGTCTCAGCCTCGCATTCGCTATGATAGCATCATGCATGTTTACACTAGCTGAATACATATATGTAGACAGTAAAAATACATTTAGACAATGATAGACAGTAACAGTAATTATTATTATATAATAAAATACATTTTAAAATAAAGATTTCTTATTAATGATTGTAATATTAATAATAAACCATTAATACATTTAATTATAATAATATTGTCGTGCCAAGCAGGGACGGAACGGAGACAAAGGCGCAGACGTCAGGGTATCGGGGAATACGGGGTTTAATTCCTTAGATGTGTTTAGTACAGTATATGCTCTTCTTGTTTTATCCTGTTCATTTTGTGTTTAAATGCTAAAAAAAACATATTTCGGTGTAATTTTTTTGGGGCCGGGAACCAATTAATTGGTTTTCCATTATTTATTATGGGGAAAATTCGATCAGAACCCGAATTTTTTAGGATTCGATCTGGAGTTCTGAACGGATTAAGAGTTCTGAGGTACCACTGTAATGTGCATTTTTCACCCTTTCAAGTAGAGCAACAGTAGAGTATTTTGATTGGACTTACACAGAACTGTTTTTGCATGTATATTCATGTATAGTCAGTAAGACGTTCAGGGTTCGCGAGGTTCCTCTGCAGCGAGGTTCCCCTGCAGCATAACCTAACTCTCTTAAGTTCCGTAAGCCCTGAGGCACCTGGGAGATGTCAGTCATACTGACGGAGGGCCGTGCTCTGCTGTGTCAGAAGACCCATCTGGATTTGTAATTGCCTTGAATGTACAAAGACTCTCGCAGACCAGGACTAATAAACTGCCATGAACGGCAACAGTGGATAAACACGCTCTGATCCTACATGGCGCCAGCATTCTGTTAGCTGATGCTTGCCGAAAACAGGACAGTTCAGCTGCTATCCACTGGAGTTGTTAAAAACCCAACTAGAGTGCTTTCCTTCCCAGTGAACCCAAAATAAAAACAGAATAACAAACTGCCAACTCACTTGGCACTACACAAAGTGGGCCATATCTCTCCAGTCTTGACAGTAGCAGGTATATTTAGGGCTGGCTTCTGAAGTGCACGCTGGTTAACTGGATGTTAACAGGCAAGGGGGGGGTCATTAAGGACACTACAGCACCCTGATTGGGAAAATGCACTTCGATGCGCTGGCTGAGTTAGAGACAGATACTGTATATGTCCCGACCTTGAGTCTCAAGGCCCCAACTTTGTGGCTGTGTTGAGTTTATTGTTGATCCCAAGTATGACGGCCCCCTCTTCAAGGACTACAAATGGGCCAAAGTGCAGTTCAAGCAGGGTGCTTGGGGTGATCGGCCACCACAGTTTGCTTCTCCTGTCACACCATGTGGGGGGGAAGCTCTTCATCTGGAACGATAAGATCAGGTGATCACAGCACCCTGGCCTGAACCCCACAGCCCACCACTCACACAGAGAGGCAGTGCAGAGCTTTGATGAAGCCCAGTGCTTCTAGACCTTGCTCATGGGAAGCTGTCACCCTCGGCATAAACTCTCATGTCCTTTCTAGCTATTATCGCCACTGGACTCTCTGCCTGTCCATCACTGAACCTGAGATATTTGAGGCAGAGCTTGAGATGGTCTGCTTCATTTATTTGTTTGTATGTAGCAGCACAATACAATAAACATGCTAGATGCACTGGGACACATCCTCAGTGATGTATCCTAAGGGAGCTGGGGGTTAAGGGCCTTGCTCAAAGAACCTCGGATCTGCTGAGGCTGGGTTTGAACTGGTATCTTCTGATTACAAGCACACAGGCTTGGCCCACTGAGCCACACGCTGCACACTGTACTTGTAGTCAATTAGTTTGCACAAGTCATCAACATTTGGTCCGTCCGATTGGAGATCTCAACCTCACCCCCTCTCGGGATCTCCTGGTGGTATCTCTCTTTAGGGCTTTCCATAGCATGTTGGGTTTCGTCCTCACGAAAAACACAGATTGGGGTGCTATCCCATACTGTCCCTGATGCCGTCTTTCCGTGCTATCAACTGTCCCTCCAGGAGTCCCTCAAACTATACTTGGTTGTCGTAGGAGTCACAGTCTGAGCCAGGTTTATCAATACAAGAAACATGTCCTAGATGCACTGGAACGCGTCCTCAGTGACAAAAGTAATGTGCAGAATTATCATGCAGACTGAATCGGGGATGTTGACTAACCCACTAGGAGCAGGGAAGGTTACCTCCATATTTCAGAATATCAACAGCAGGACTGAGCCACTTGGCTTCAGAGGTGAATTTGGGGATTGACAGAAAAACGAACGCCAGGAAGACGTCTGCATTCCTTCATCTGTCTCCCACGTTCTCCCCCCCGCGATGTTCCCACGGAGCTACGCGTGTTATATAGCCGTGGAAGCAGACAATCAACTTCTGCCGAAGCAGGAAAATATCCGGCCAAACAAACCCCCCTGCCGTCTGCCATATGAAATGTTAATGTATAAGGTTAAATATCTTATATGCAAATATCTATTGCCATACCAGAATAATACATTGTTAAATTGTTAAAAAACACCATCCCACCATGTGATGTCTGTATAAGAATAGCAGCTATTTCAGCCGCACAGCTGCTTAGCAACCCAAAGGAAAGTGAAAACTGCAAACTGTGTTACTCACTCAAAATTTGTAATATCAAAACAAAAAAAGGTCAACTGTTAAACCCACTCACTGCATACACAGGAAGATTCTATGCTTAATATTGTTTATATGGAATACCTTAATAAAAATCTTTATTGGGATATGTAGGAGTTATTACTAAAGTTCCTGAGGTATTTAGAAAGTTTAATACTATTAATACATACTGTCCTTTTCCTTTCTGAATACAGTCGGCTGTCTGTATCTGGGGGGAATTAGTTCCAAAATCCGAGGATGCATAAAATCTATGCATATCTTTCCGTATACTTTAAATCATCTCTTGATTACTTGTACTACCGCACACAATGTAAATGCTATGTAAATTGCTGGTATTTTGTTCACAGAAACAAAGGGTGCGCACAACACGTGTGGCGATTGAACAAGATGAACAATGCTCAAACAATGAGAGCTGGAGAAAGCTTGCAGATCTGTCAGCAGGATATGCCTACGCATCACTGTGTTCGCGTGGATGCAGCTTAGTGCTTGGTGTGCGTAAAGTTCAAGTGTAGCTTTTTTGAACTTTCTGGATTTTTTTTTTCCAAATGTTTAGTCAGTGTTTTCAATCCGTGGTTGGTTGAATCTTGGATACAGAAGGTTGACTGTCTGCATAAGAGCGATATCTGTGCTCCCGTTTTGGTTTTTAAGTCAGTAGCTAATGTTAATTTAGGAACGTCAAGTAGGTGTGCGTGAGGGCATGAACTCAGAGGAACAGAAATTACTGCATTTAAAAACAAAATTATTATTTCATTTATGTTTTTGTTTTCATATGCCGGATGCAGAGTTTTAGCTAGCATTAACGTACAGACTCTACAGATTCTAATTATTTAGGCCTGTTTAAAATGTAAAGAAGCAAAGAACAAAGTGTCTGCCAGCTGCACCTAAAGGGGAATCCTTCCTTAGATGTGACAGATGCTACACCTAGCAGGATGGGGAAGATGGAGAAGCAGCCCTGACTGGCTTAAGGTGACTTTGTATTTCCCACATGGGCTCTAATTACCAAGCTATTTGTGCTCGAAGACTAGTGTCAGCTCTCCCTTGTTATATCAGGCTGTGTGTAGGCTGCATTGTGTCTTTTACCTCACACAGGGTACTAAAAACATCATCCCAAACTGTGGAATTTGCATATTGTTATCTTGAAACACACAATAGGAAAAGAAATCACTTCAGTTCAGAAAGTTATCATTAGTCATCCAAACTGTGTGTTTATATACTGTAGGTGTATCGATGTGTTTTTTGCCTGTGTTTTGCTTAAATGAATATTGTTTCTTCTGTTTCCTATTATCAAATCTAAAGTGAGGATTTTTCAGATCAGTAACTGGGTCCCTCAGGGAAGCAAGCATTCACAGGCCTATGAATGCAGGATGTTAGGCACCTCACTCTGCCAACTTGCATCACTCAGTCAAGGCTGTCCTTCCTGAAAGGGCTTCCTTAGACGACATGGATAGAAATTTGGCAGGCCCTCTTGGGGAAAGACCACCTTGAGGGGCTTGGAAATTAGAAGCCAGAGAGGCGCCCGGCTTCCCCGAATGGGCCGTTTGTGACGCCGCCCAGATTCCTGGCCCCGAGGACCGAGCAATCGGCCAGCAGCCCCCGCCCCCCCATCATCGCAAAGCAAATCCTTTCTGGACTGGCAGGATCTTGGAACACGTGACCCGGCTGCAAACGGCACGGCGGTCAGCCGCATACGGCACGCAGCAGGACGGCCGCGGCCCACAAGTTCATTAATTGACTCCTCCAAGCCTGATGTGCCAGGAGCCTTGGCTGAGAAAGACCTGGAAGGCCGGCTGGAGACATCCGCCGCGACGGGCAGCAGGCCAGCCTCGTTCTCGGAGAGAGCAGCTTTTATCACGGGCAAACAAAACTGATAATGCACGGCGGGGCTCGGGGGAATGCAGCAGAGCGCAGGTCCGGCTGCTCCCCAAGACGGCTATGCAGAGAGACGCCTCAACAACACGCCGAAACTACAGATCGATAAATGGCCCAGCCAGGCAGAGGAAAACACTTTCTTAACACGTGTAAATCTTGTGGAGATGGCTAATTAAAAAGCAGTGTGTGGAACTGTCTTCTTCTCGTTACCTTTTGAACATCAGAAGGAACCCTCTGGAGAAAATCGAGGATCTCATTGTTGTCAATGGCGAAGGGGTTTCTGAGCTTCTTGGTGAATTTGTTAATTCCTACAAAGATGAGAATATGCAGATAAATAAATCATTTAGTCCAAAATATACCCCAAGCTCACATGTTTTTAATAAGGCAAATCCTTCCTGACATAGAATCCATTTATATCTAGGAGAGCAAGCCATCCAAAATGGTATTATTTCATCTAGTCCCAGAACAGTTTAATCAACCCAAAATAAACTGAAGTAAATAATAGCCAGAGTGGCAGAAGGGAAATAAGCAAATAAACAGGCAGAAAACAAACACGAGTTAGAGAAGAAAACTGCTGAGGCAAGATGATTTCTCTTATAGTCCCGCTAAACATTTGGCTGATAAGGTCTACTAAACGACTTCGAAGATGCATCCAGACTGTGCCCCGGGCCGGGGGAGGGGTGCTGTCCATGTGTTTGTCCATCACTTCCCCTCCCTTTTCTTTTCATGGCCTCAGCATTTTGAGTAGCAATTAGGTGCCTCTCTTGCCTACAGATAGAGGGACAGCCTGGCCGCCTGACGCACAGCAGCTCTGGGCGCGAACCTAAAAGACCTGCTAGGAACTGAAGTGGTGTCCCCTGGTAACACTGTACATCCATTGGTAACACTGTCTGTCCCCTGGTAACACTGTCTGTCCCCAGGTAACACTGTCTGTCCCCTGGTAACACTGTCTGTCCCCAGGTAACACTGTCCATCCATTGGTAATACTGTCTGTCCCCTGGTAACACTGTCCATCCCTTGGTAACACTGTCTGTCCCCAGGTAACACTGTCCATCTATTGGTAATACTGTCTGTCCCCTAGGAACGCTGTCTGTCCCCAGGTAACACTGTCCATCCCTTGGTAATACTGTCTGTCCCCTAGGAACGCTGTCTGTCCCCTGGTAACACTGTCCATCTTCTGATAGAGCTGTCTGTCCCCAGGCAAAGCTGTCCATCCCTGATAAAACTGTATGTCCCATGGTAATGCTGTCCGTCTTGTGGAAAAGGCGTTGGCTTTTATACCATTGCTGCAGATAAGGACAGGACAGGCATGAAAAGCACTGGATGTCATTGCCACAGGAAAGATGCATTAAACCGTGCCCTGTGCTCTCCTGGCGCCACAGAGAGCTCACACCCCGGGCCACGGTAGAGCCGCTCTGGCACATTACTTTGGCGTCACTGAGCCGCTGCCAGTGCCTCTGAAACGACGAATAATATGCTTTACTGCATTATTCTAGATACACACTCTACCTCACGCTTCTGCTCAGATTAAATCACCATCCTGACCAGAGGGCTGTGTCTCACGCTCCGAGGAAGGCCGTTTGTATCACAAGACTCTAAACAAGTCAGTGTTAACAGCAGGCATCATAGCCTGTGTGGGGAAAAAATGTGTGCGATATATATAAATATTAAAAAACGTATTGGTTCGTGTCAGCCTAATGCATAAATTAAATCTCACCTGCCACTTCTGATGCACCTTGCACTACGGCTGAGGGATGTTAGCTTGTTGTGTGTCTTTATAGCTATTTTCCGTGTAGCTGCAGGGAGCACAGCGCGTAAGCACGGATGTACAGTTCCGATGCCTCTTCGCGTCTAATCCGCCCCCTTTCAATCTGTCGACGGGAGATTCTGTGGGAGTCTGGCGGTGCCTGTCGAGCCCCGTCTGCGTCAGAAAGCGCGGCAGGCAGAGCGGCAGCTAAAAGAGCGAAATGTGCGAGGCAGTGGCAGGTGCTCGGTTCAGACGAGCAGTGCGGTCTTACCCCATATCAGGACGATGTAGCGCAGTGGGATGTAGTACGTTATAACCGTCACAATGAACAGGACCAAGCAGGCCAGAGCTGACAGGAATGGCGCTGACCAGTTGAAAGTGCTAAAATTTAAAGATTTAAAAAGAATTAAAAATCGGCATTCTAAAAATTTGCATGGAATATTTTTCAGCATTATTTTTTATTTAAAAATTATTACTTTATTTTATATAACAGAACAAAAATTGCCATTATTTTAGTCTGATGCCAATGAGTTGTTAGGGTTAGGGTTAGGGTTAGGGTTAGGGTGAGATTTAACCCGAAAATGCTGCATGTGTCACTGTCGCACACTCTCCCTGCCCGCACTTTTTGATCCTCTCCCCGAGGCATGCAATCTCCTCCAGCAGACTCTGAACGCTGACCACGATCTCTTGCACCATGTGGATTTTCTCCATCAGGCCCCTTCTTTCCGTATCCTGTGAATAAACAGAGTTATATTAGCAGAGACATCATCTCCCAGTGGAAAACTACACAATAGTTTTTTTTTTTTTACATCACGCATAAACATATAACCAGATACCTGCTTTACACAAATCATGATCCAGTGAGAAGATAATATGTGAAAAAACACATGATAGTTTGACATATTTACCCCAGAAGTGCCAATAATAGATGAGGGTCATATTCTGCATCCTGTGTGGAACCTGTGAAACTCCACCCAGACCCCAACCCCCCCCACATCTCTCCTATTTACATCTTCATTTCAGCGGCTCGCATCACCATGCTCCAGGTTCGACTTCAGTGCGTCTCTGTGCATTATTTACCCACAGTTCGGTTCTACGTCTTGGGTATTTAATGTTTCATAGCAGTGCATTACAAGAGCAACCCAAGAACTCACAGGACATCAGATCTGGCTTCCTTCTGGGGTAAACTAGAGCGGGGGGGCTCCCTCACTGAGATATCAGAAGTATGGCAGGCCACAGGGGTGGGAATTCCAGACATCAAACAGGGAAATAATGAAAAGCATGACAAGATAGAAAGAGGACAGCATGGGGATGTTATCTGATGGACTTTGTCACTGGAGGCTCGGAAGACCTGCACATCACTGTTAAAAATGACCCCAGCCTCTTGGCACAATGGAGCCCAGACAGGGCCCTTTATCAGCCTCTCATCATGTGGCCCATGGGAGCCCCTGATGACAGCCAGACCGGCCAGACACTATGCTGCACCTCATCCGCCCCTCTACGACAGTGGCGCAGTGTTGCGACCAGCCAGGCGCTACATTGCACCTCATCCGTAGTCTCTCCTCTAAGACAGTGGTGCAGTGTTGCGACCGGCCAGATACTACGCTGCACCTCATCTGCAATCTCCACTCTACGACAGTGGTGCAGTGTTGCGACCGGCCAGGCGCTACACTGTACCTCATCTGCAATCTCCCCTCCACGACAGTAAGGGTGCTAGAGGCTGTCCGTGCTCATACATCTGCAAGCTTACTTTAGTGCTGAGATCCACCACGTTTGATCGAATATTTATTACACTTATTCATAAATATAGGATAAGGACACTAAGAGTCTCTTTGCAAATACATCCTGTCTTCAGAAGGAGCTGAGAAGTAAACTCATTTTCCCTTCAGTTCAGAAGAAGTCAATGAAATCCATGTCTCACTGCTCAGCGGTGAAGCGGGCGGAAAGTCCCCAAAATGAGGCTGAAGAAGAAGACAGCCTTTGAACACCACCCTCACTAACTGGCCTGGGAACAACACTTTGGCGTCTGCAGGAACCAGGAGGACAACCCAGGCTGTCTAAACCTGCCTGAGCCTCACATGAGAGTAAAACCCACCGAGGGAGACAAATTTATAGGCGACCAAACTGCACATAAGGCGAGCTGTGTCAAAGAGTGCTTCTGAAAGATAAAAAACGACACAGCACAGCTTTCATGTTAATAAACAGGACAGAATACAAACAGAAGCTGCCTCGCCGTCTGTGTGGAGAAACGAGCAGGATTATCTTCCCTCATATCCCTCACCACCTTTGAAGTCCATGCTCCAAATCTCACGTTGCTCATTTGATGATCTTAATCTTTCCAAATTTCCTTGTTCAGCTTGTTCGTTACTCCAGGAAAACAAAATATAAAGCAGGACCCACCAGAAGCAGGATGGGGTATTGCAAGGAATAGCCTTTAGCAGTCATTATAAAACCTGTTTCAGATCATTTATATTTAAGATTAAAATATACTTGCAATCTTTTAAAATGGAATTTTAGCTAATGATTTGATCTGGAGCACAAAGTTAAATTGCGAGTGTGATTCCACGGGGGTTATGGGCATAAACAAAATGTCATCACTCCTCTACTTAGAGTAAATGGTATCAAATGTGACTATCCTTTGTAACACAACCGATTTTCTTGTGAGACACCTTCATCGGGAAAGCCGTCACCAAACTCACTTTAAGAGGAGCGCAAAAGCATATCATGTGACCCTATGGTAGTGGCAGTACTCCAGATCCATACACACTGGATGTGGACAGAGCACTGCAGTACACTCTGGAACAGAGTGGACACGGACAGAGCACTGCAGTACAGACTGGACATGGACAGAGCACTGCGGTACAAACTGGATGCAAACAGAGCACTGCGGTACAGACTGGACATGGACAGAGCACTGCGGTACAGACTGGACGTGGACAGAGCACTGCGGTACAGACTGGACATGGACAGAGCACTGCGGTACAGACTGGACGTGGACATAGCACTGCAGTACAGACTAGACACGGACAGAGCACTGCAGTACAGACTGGACGCGTACAGAGCACTGCGGTGCTATCAGCCCATCAAGCTGCACACTTCTCACATGTGATGGAGGTAACCTTTGACCCCTCCCTTGTCTGGGTCTAGAACCCCTGTATAGTGTAACGTGGGCCTCCAATCAAATTAGTGGGGGCAGCAGGGATACTGTAACTATCACATCTGGGAGGCAAGGAGTTTTTATTTATTTGTTGGTTTTCAGACTAGGACAGCAAGATGACTGTTTCGAGAAGCCCGTTTGTGGTAAGCTATTTATTCTTAAAAGGGAAAAACAATACTAACTTATGTCTATTTAAGCCAATCATACTAAATAATTTCAGCTGAATTCTGCTATTAAAATCATCCTCCTTGGGAAACGTCCTGGTTAGCCATCAGATTTAATACTAATCAGTCTTTCAGACAGAAGCACATGCTGTCCTTCATGCTGTCACACGTTGGCCACCATCACTATTAAACAAATCTTTTGAAACTCGTGCTGACGCTTTGAGATTCAAGCAATTGGTAATTACGTTATTCATATAAGAGCTATTTAATTTGACGAAAAACACCATACTTAAATAAACTCAATTTACACCCGAGACAGACACAATTTTACTGATAACAGGGGTGTTTTAAGGCACAGGGATTTAAAAATGTTTTTAAAATCTTCTGCATTTGATTATAAAATGAGCATCAAAACCTATACGTGTCAGTGTTTTCTCCAGCAACATAGAAGAGAAAACAAACCATATTAATAACTTATCATATTGTTGGTACATATACTGTATTCTGTACATATTCATAATAAATAATGTGTTTGCTTCCCTGGTCTGTATTCAGTGACAAAGGGGTAATTATTATTGGATGGCTTCGGACATCCTCTCACAGCATCCTTACGAGCTCATGCACGTGTGTCGTAGTGCTTCCATACAAGAATTAGCTGCCTTTTTATGACACAGGCTGGGGGAATGGCTTTTCCTTTACCCAGGAACACAGGCATCCTCCGCTCATCACAGCAGACTATATCGAATGCTTTATGAATATGAACGCGGGGAGCAAGCCAAGGCACTGGGATCTTTGCTGGGAGGCCTGACATTATAAAGCAATAGCAGAACGCTGGCTTTGCATTAACCCTTTTCCTGCCAGACACTCATACAAGCCATGATAATGGCCAGACTCCAAAGTTTCATGCTAATTAAATTTAAACTTTAGATCAAATTCAGTCACCCACCCCGAATTTACAGTCAGGACCAATGGTCATTCATCCTCAGCCTGACTGGGATATCAGTGAGATCCAAAGACACAGCAGAGTAAAATATATCCCTATCATTCACATTCTGTCATGATCAGTGGGATCGACAGGCATATCACTGCTATGTTTAGATTTAGATTTACAGGGAAAATCATAGGTGGCTTAATTACTACATTTGTGCTCATGATAGTTACTCTTATATGACATAAAATACTGTGGCAGAAGGATGTATTGGATGTACAGTTAGCACATTTACATTTCTGCCCAAATCTGAAATGGAAATATTAAATCTGAAAACAGTCATCAGATAGCTCTCAGCAGGATATAGACAAAGACCCTAAGGCAGAGATGACTTGGTATGTGACTGATGAGGCCACTCCAATACCAGCAGTACACAGAAATTCAGATGGCCCACTCTGATATGGAAATGGAAATAGATCAGACCCAAGTCTTTCCGTGTTTATGATGAGAGGAAGTATATTGTCTTTGACATCATAGTGTCATGGCCCAGCCAAGGGATGCCCCAACAACGTCATGCAAATAAGTCTCTACAGCCATGCCTCCCAGGGAATCCCAACGTGCGAGAATTCCCAGTCAGGAAAGTCTGCCCAGCTTACACCCTGATTACCAGCGGAGCTCGTCCGGCGATCATGCCCCTTCCCAGCTGTGATCGATAGCAATAACTGGCTTCTCTATTTCTTTGCATCTGGTGCAAGCACCAAAAGCGAGATCTTCTTGGTTTTCCTTGAGTTTGACAGTTTTCTAGTGCAGTCTGTTCTTGCCTTTCTGGTTCTGTCTGACACCATTTTGGCCTTCAGACTGTGAGTTCTCAGCTTGCCTCATTGCTGACGGCCTCCTCGCTCGATCCTGGACCTGCCCATCAACCATGGTTTCCACCCATCGCCTGACACTGGTGCCCCTACTGGCTTCTGCATTTGCAGGCCAACTTGGATATTGTTCGGATTTCATAAAATTTGACTTGGACTGCTGATTATGATTTTTGCACTGCAGCATTAAACTTGCTGTTGGAAAAACTGCTCCACATCAGAGTCCTGCCTACCGTCCACCTCTGACACATAGTGGTCGTGGAAAGTGCAGTCAGTTTAGCCTGATTTTAGAGGCATAATAGCCTTTAAAAAGGGGTTGAAAACTGTTAGGTGCAGCAATGAAGAGATGAAAGCAGTAGCTCCTGGTATAAATGAATGAATTACCTTTTCGTCCTCGTCTTCATCATCACCCAGGTCTATGTGGTCCTACAGCAGACAGTGCGGAATGTAAAGGTGAGCATTTCTCATGAAGGTGCAAGTCACTTGGGCCACATGTTTCTTTTCTCAAGCCCAAAAAGATAATGGAAATCTCTGCTTGAACATCCAAGCCATTGGGAGGAGGGCTGGCCCATAAACACAGCCCCAGCCAGCACTCGCCTCGCACAAAAGGCACGGTGAGACAGCTATGTTCACCCGAGCAGTGTCACGGCGAAGCAATCTAAAGCCTCCACAAAACAACTGCGAGAAGGGGACAGGACTGATAGGACAGCACATCTCATCTGGGGTGGGGAGGGGCTGCCCAGATCATTTTACATCAAGCTTTCCCCTCAAACCTCTGTCTGTTGAGTGCACCGTGACCCGGCCTCACAGAAGGTCACAGCCATTGCAGGGGGGGCTATCTGGGTCAACCAAGGCTTTAACATTGCCCCAGGATGGCCCCGCTGTCCTTAGCCTGTGACACAGCTCCTTGTTTGGGGTAACATCATCCCTGTGGGGCCCAGGCAAGTCACCAGGCCGCAATTATCTTTCCATGTGTCATTCATAAGGCTAGGAGACCAACACTTAAAGCCCAGATTAGATTGCATCTGCATTCTTTTCAAGACAAAACATTCAGGAACCCTAAGGATAATACTGTAAAATGGATTTAATACTATTTACAAAGAGTAAATATAAATGATGCTCACCAGATCGTGGCTGACCTTCTCAGAGGCGACCTGGAAGTAGTTCCAGGCGATGAGGAGGAGAAGGGAGAGTGGCAGCATGAAGAGTTCCCAGTGCCACATCGTGACCAGGAAAATCTGAAATGACACCGCAGTGGGGGGGTGATGTTACAGGCTAGTCCCGGCACCTCCTGCAGACGATGTCGGTTCACCCATTTTCACTCTTCGGCGGAGCTTCTCCACACTCCTGATGTGTCCCTGTGTGTTAGCTCTCACATTCAAGAGACTTTCTGCGCGGCTCCCCGACGTCCCAGAATCCAATTTGCGAGCCTGGCAGCATGCGTTTGTGAGAGGGAGGGAAACGGCGACATGGCAAGGACAGGCAGTGTGCCCCGGGTGGCGCGATGAGCGGCAGATCATCTTAGATAAGTGCTGTGCCTGCCTGTCGCTGGCTCTGCACACATGGTTACCGCGGGAATGTTTGCAGCACATGCCTCCTGCTGCCATCTCAGTGCCGATGAAGAGTAAAGAGTCCCAGGACAAAAGAGACAAATCACACCAAACAAACAGTCATTGTGCATTGAGCCAACTCTCAGCTCAGAGTACGATTCACCACAGTTCACAGCTGTACAATAACTGGAACAGGATGTTTAAAATGATTTATTGATGACCTAATGAGTCAGGCTGATATTCTCTAAGTGTACCGAGGTAGAGTTTCCACTCAGACAATGCCTTCACAGGTGAGATAGCTTCACAGAAGAAAAAAGCCAAAAACACACATTAACCACCAAAATCAGCTGTTTATTAGTAAAGCACTTGGGGACATTCCTTGGAATATAATGCTATAGAGCCTTTCTGTCATCCTGTTTAACCCACAGACAACATTATAAACTCGCTGACATCCAAACATGTTAAGGAGCACATTACAGCTGCCGTAGTGCTATTGGTAGTGATGCATCATATTATTTCTTTAAAGGGTTATAATAACATTGCAGTATATGTGTGAAAAACCAAAGAGGCCCACAGCTCTTCTCAGCACTCACACCTACAGTGATGTGGCACGAAAACCCAGAGCGGTGCGTGGCTGCAAGCGCATGTCAGGGCTGTGAACTAAACGGGGCCTGGGGCTCGACGCATGTGAGCGGCGTGTTCCAGGCGGGGCGACATGCAGGGGCCCACGCCAAAGCCTGTTAGCCACATCAGCTTGCGTTCTGAAACATCACACTTGTCATCAGATACCACCAAAACATTAAACAGAACAGCACCATAATTGTAATTCAGGTGCATATTTACATAAATATGAATATGCATGACTGGTTGGCCCGGTCACGGTGTCGGCTTTTCTTTCAGCTGTGGATAACCTGTGTTTCCAGGTGGCCGTCCTCACCGCAGGAAGAGTTCTCTGGGCTTAAGGACAGAGGGGCCTGTCATTCGCGGAGATGTGCTTCAAAGCGAGTCTGCTAGCTGACTCCAGCCCAGCTGGAGAGCTGAACCTGGCCGCCCTCGCAGAGAAGCGGCTACATTAACCACTAAACTCTAATTGCCTGGTCTCTATCTGGCCGTGTGAGTTAACATGGGGAGGCAATTCATTTCCACCCAGGGAGTCGACAGAGAGGATCTGTCACAGGTAGTCATAATTGTCTACTAATGCAAATCCCACTAACTGGGCACGGCTCAGAGAAAACATGAAAATGTACAGAAGTATAATTTGTTGTGTCTAAACCACATGCCTAAATGAGGGTACAAACCAGAACAGTCAGAAATCTCCTGCACTCTCCCAAGCAGGGTGTTGCTCAGAGTAGAGAGGATTTACATGGTTTTATAAGCTAATAAAAAAGTAAAACTCAGCATCTGGAAAAGCCGCGGTGCTCCGATGAGTGGGTTGCATGAAGCACAGCAGATCACACGCGATAACGCGGCTTTGTCGGCCATGGTGCTCCGATGAGCGGGGTGCACGAAGCACGACAGATCGCACGCGATAACGCGGCTTTGTCGGCCATGGTGCTCCGATGAGCGGGGTGCACGAAGCACGACAGATCGCACGCGATAACGCGGCTTTGTCGCTCGCGTCTCCTTGTCTTCTCACATTTTCTGCTACTTTGTGAAGTGGAGACTTAGCTAATTCCCTGCTTTATGTTTTATTAGCAGCGAGGGGGGGTCATTTAAGGAAGGCTGGGAAGGCATACCAGTGGGGTAAAGTGTGAGTATGCACTGAAAATAATCCAGCTTTTTATTAGGCCACACTGATACTAAAATCAGATGCATTTGCTGTCAGCCTCTTTCATTTATATATAAGAGATACATCATTAAAGCAACGTCTCCTATAAAAAGTAAAGCAGACTGAAAATGTTTATGTTTATGAAAAAGTGGAAGTGTAACTCATCATTACCAAACACACAAACACACATCTGTATTACTGTCTTCATGAATGTTCGTCTGAATACGTGAAGAGGGGGCACAGCAGTAGATGGCTAGTAGGTCAGAGGCAAGCTGACAGGATTTTTCTGTGGTTCTGTTAACAGGAGAAGAAGTTTCAGTGTAGGACTGTGGATAAACTTGTCTTAACGCTGCGCATGCCGCCCCCTCTCTCCCCGGAGGACTCGGCATCGCCCGGGGACAGCTGCATACTTATGACCCCAGCCAGAGTTTTTTCAAATCCCACTAAATGTGTTTCCACTCTACGAAGGGGAAGATGCTACATCCACCTACCTGCTAGCGAGGACACGGGAAAGCGGAGTGTGGGATGTGAGCGTTCTATATGCGAGGCTGCCTCTCATTTACGAACGGCTGCTGGAGTGCCCCACTGTTCTTATCATGGAAATTTCTACAGTTCACCCGGAAGGGCCGTTTACTTGCCATCAGAGCTCACTAAGTAATAGCTGTTATTTTCCATGGGCCAGTTAGCTGTATGAGCCAGATTACCTATGAACTCCCACTCACAACACACTAGGCATGTTCTCTGCCATACTCAAACTTTTTGGACCAAGTACCAGTTTGGATCAAACCAAAGCAGCCAAGTAGCATGTGTGAAAAAAAAATCACAGTAACGTGAATTGCAATAACGGTTCTTCTTGTGCACCACCTGGGTGCACTTTGGGGACTGCTGACGATGCGCATACCGCCTGGGCGCATTCCTAGTACCGCTGATGGTACACGGACCACCGGAGCGCATTCCTAGTACCGCTGATGGTACACGGACCACCGGAGCGCATTCCTAGTACCGCTGATGGTACACGGACCACCGGAGCGCATTCCTAGTACCGCTGATGGTACACGGACCACCGGAGCGCATTCCTAGTACCGCTGATAGTATGCATTCCGCCTGGGCACACTCCAAGTACCGCTGACGGTAAGCATACTGCCTGGGCACACTACGAGTACCACTGATTGTATGGGTACCGCCTAGGTACACTCCGAGTACCACTGATGGTAGATATACCACAGTTTGAGAACCACTGCAAACCAATATTTAGACAGTTTAACTTGGTCATGCTCTTTCCCCAATAGGGTCCTTAAACAAGATTGTCCATTTATGAATTCTGCTCCACAACAGTCATGCCATCTGGTGGTCTTGTTGTCAGTTACATTTCCTGTAAGAGGTACAGTCATGGCTGCGCAGGCCAACTGGAACGCTAATGGTTTCATCTTCACAGAGTCACACTCTTACACACATTACCCATGTCCCATATTGGGGTCTAAGCATGCCAGACAGTGCTCGCGGGGGGCAATGCAGGGCTGCGGTGGGAGGGGGCGTGGGGGGGGGGGCGTGATGCCAGCCTGATTGTCGCTGATTAACTTAACAGAGCTAAGCAGGTTTAACAAGCCTGACTCCAGGCCCTAACCGGGGAGACAGGGATTTAAAAGCATCCAAAGTAGAAGTGAAACCCTGTATAATCATTGCTGAAATCTACATTCACTTTTCCGGGTGAACTCAAGGGCAGCTGAAGTAATCTGCAATGCCTTCTCAATTTAAATACAGGAAAAGAGGAGGATAAATCATAAATGAAAGCCCCTCGGCAGGAGGATTGTGCTGCGCTAACACCCGCCTGCAGGGGGAGTTGGAATAGCGGGGTGTGTTGAGGTGCGTTTCATTACACTTTCATTAATCACCTAAGTGGTCTGGTAAAATTTGAAATGAAGAAAAAATATGTACATTCAGGATTTTTAGAGGACTTCCACTGTCGGGTTGGTCTTTAGAGGGAAAAGAGAAGCTTAGATGTGGTTGGATGCTTTCTCCTTTAGAGACCTCCCGCAGGGTAGCTGTGGCCTTCTGTCAAATGGTGGACTGGGGGGGCAGGCAGCAGTCAGTGCCCCGCATTCGCGGGGGAGGTTGGAGGGCATATCTCACCCTGTGACATAGGCTGACCCGGCAGGCGACAGGCCAGCGCTGCAGAGCGCCGCCCCCCTGGGGACCAGGCAGCGGAATAGCGCTGGCCCCGCCCCCCGGCCCTGCATGGCAGGACCCCCCCGTGTGCATGTGTCCCTGGCACCATCGCCATGGGAGGTATGTCCTCTCTGCCCTCAAAACGTGCCGGGCATCTTGGACTCGCTCTTGGCACGGCCCAGCTTAAATGCAGAGAGCCTTCCGCAGGCCGTCCTCCAGCTTTCATGCCCCTAAACCCCCCGGAAGCGGGCATGACGCGTGCCATCACCCCCCCTCATCACGTCATTTCCACACGGCTTCCGCAATGTAAATTAAACCCATAACTCTGCATGCATTACACAGAGGACACTCAGTGGACAGCAGAGGTTTACGGGGATTTTCTCGCCAGGGCAGGCAGACTGCCGATCGCGTCGGACCCGTGACGCTCCTGCAGCTCGCGGTGCTGTTCCGTGGACTGCAGATCATGGAAGCGGCAGTCGGCCAGCCCAGAGAGCCGGGTGTGGATTGAGAGCTAATCCCAGACATTCAAGGACATGATGCTGAAAGAGTATGCAAAAAAAAAAAAACACACACACATGCCAAAATAAGGCAAAGGGATCCTCCAAACAACACAGAGCCTCAAACATGGAATCGCCACTATTAAAATCTTAAGAGCATTAGCTGTAATACTAGTAGGGCGTAGGCAGCCCACATGGGCCAGGGCTCTCAGCTTCGCTTGCTGTGCGGAGCCCCCCGTACCCACCGCAGTCACACTTCCCCCAGCTCAGGAGAGACGGGACGTTCAGCAAGGCAGGTGAGTCTCCCACACACGAGCAGAGTGCCCTAACCGGCCGGCCCAGGCAGGGCAGCACTGCAATGCAGCAAACAGAACCAGGAGTTCCCAGCTGCCCCCCTCACATCTCTAAGGTCTGCACCACCACTGGTATAGCTACACGCCCAGGGTACCCGGGGTAGCATCTCCGACCTACTGCCTAGGTGGTCCCGCCCCTCAGCCATGTCAATTTGCTGTGCATGCCCACTGCAATTACAGTGGCGTGCCATCAAAGCTTCATCCTACGCCATGTTGGCGGCCTGTGATGTGTGACAGTCAGCATTTCACAGCCTGTCAAACGGCGTCTGAAGCCGCCGTTACCTGGTGGCGCGACAGAGAGGCGCCAGGATCTGCAGGCAGGTGCTTTATAGTCCAAACTCCTGACGGGCTCCCTACCTTTAAGACGTTATATCTATTTAAAGCACCCTAATGACCAAAAGCTGTAAGCTCAGCTTTTGTGTAGAAATGATCTTTACCTTCCACTTCTTTTTGAAAATGATTTTTTTTCTCTATTCACCTCAAAATTCATCTCAGGGTGTGAAGACAGGACTGTTCCCGCCTTCTTAGAGCTATTCAGTGTGTAACAGAATTATTTCACGTTCAAAGTTTGTTTAAGGCACACAATAGAAATTTCCACTTTCACAACATTCCCTTGGCCAACCCCCTCCCCACACCCCCAATTCTCCAGCAGCTTGTAGGTGCCGAAGATTGCCACTCTACTGCCAGTTTGGCGGTGCTCTAACTCCATCTACAGGCTAAAGTGTGCAGTGCAGAAAGGAACTCTATTTGACCCCTTTGGAGAATGGCTGGTGATGTGCGCAGTATTCATGCAGCAAAGTCTTATGGAAAATCACATATAAAAGGGCAGCATTTTATGAGGCTGTCACCCCTACCTCTCGCTGGGCCAAACTTTGAGGAGCACACGTCGTGCACTCATTATCCGTGAATCAAACACTGTCTCAGATTTCTGTTTATTTGTGTTCTTTGGGGTTGATGAAGATTTTATAAAAGTGTGAAAAGTTTTTATAAGGCATACAAACCATATTGGAAAGTTTCCTAATTAGATTTCTTATTTCCACAAATGGCAAGTGGAACCAGCATTAAAGAGAATAGCATCTCCCCTGCTAATAGAGCATATTATGCAATCAAAAACGATAACTATAACCCCAAAATGTAATTACTGTTCAGAGAAAGGATCGACTACTGCAGGTTTGCTGCTGATCAGCGCCCTATGTGCAGAAGCCTAGAGTGAGGTCATAGTTTTTGGGTGATTGAAATAAAATGGTCTTTGCAGCTTGGTCAGCACAAGCCACAAAAAAATATAATTTAGAAAGTTGTGAAATGAATGAATATTACTGTGTATGACTTAAGAGACTGGGAGGGATTCCTGTGGCCTGCCCCCTGTTCAGCCCAGTTATTCATATCTAATGACATTTGTCACTGCAATCAGATGGACACTATACTGCCAGAAAACTTGAAACACTCAAGACTGAAACAGATCAGATAGAGTATTTACATTTAGTGGATTAAACCATTGTTTTGGGAAGGTGATCTTTGTTAGGTTGAATGTCAAGCGGGGCAGTACCGCTGTACTTTTTGGTCCAAATCCTTACCTCATTTTCGCAGCTTAGCCAAAAATAAAACGCATCTCAGCCAAAAGCAAGGCTGCAGGATGCGGTAGTGTGCAGGACGAATTAATAATGCGATGTGCATGGAACACAAGCTGCCCCGGAGCTACGAAAATCCGGACAAACCCTAAGAAGCATAGCGGAGAGAAAGCCTGTAATTATACATGTATTACGCACTTCAGAGACACGGGTAGAGCCCACCCTGCTTCCCCTATCAGCACTGCCTACAGACATGAACACAGGAGTAGAGTGCCTTCTAAAGGACACAGCAAGCACTTACATACCCATCTCCCCATACACATACTCACACTCTACTCACCTGCCCATCCCCCTGTCTATATACTCACACTCTACTCACATATCCATCTCCCTGTCTATATACTCACACTCTACTCACCTGCCCATCCCCCTGTCTATATACTCACACTCTACTCACATATCCATCTCCCTGTCTATATACTCACATTCTACTCACCTGCCCATGTCCCTGTCTATATACTCACACACTACTCACCTGCCCATGTCCCTGTCTATATACGCACACTCTGCTCACCTGCCCATCTCCCTGTCTATATACTTACATTCTACTCACACATCCATCTCCCCATCTATATACTCACACTCTACTTACCTGCCCATCTCCCTGTCTATATACTCACACTCTACTCACCTGCCCATCTCCCTATCTATATACTCATACTCTACTCTCACACCCGTCTCCCCGTCTATATACTCACACTCTACTCACATAGCCATCTTCCTGTCTATATACACACACTCTACTCACATAGCCATCTCCCCGTCTATATACTCACACTCTACTCACCTGCCCATGTCCCTGTCTATATACGCACACTCTACTCACCTGCCTATCTCCCTATCTATATACTCATACTCTACTCTCACACCCGTCTCCCCATCTATATACTCACACTCTACTCACATAGCCATCTCCCCGTCTACATACACACACTCTACTCACATAGCCATCTCCCCGTCTATATACACACACTCTACTCACATAGCCATCTCTCCGTCTATATACACACAATCTACTCACACAGCCATCTCCCCGTCTATATACACACACTCTACTCACATAGCCATCTCTCCATCTATATACTCACACTCCACTCACTTAGCCATCTCCCTGTACACATACTCACACTCCATGTACTGATCTCCATGTATGTATAATCACACTTTCTTCACTACTGGTCCCATATACATACTCAGTCTACTCACATACCGATTTCCCTGTATATACACTTTGCTTTTATTTTTTTTTAAATATATATAGCACATGTAAATAAAATAATGATTGTTAGTCAAAAACTAGCAAGTCACCCATGCATAAACTGTATCAAAATATACTTATCAAGAATTATTATAATCTTCATGTTTTCCTTTGCATTTTATTTGTCAGGATTCAGCAAAGGAGACCTTCATTGCCAGCACTGCTCTGACAGGAGGTGCCAAAGCTCCATGTCTCCTCTGGAGCCACACAGAAGCCTGCCTGGTTTTCTCGTGAGCGTTTGGAGCGTCTAATCAGCGACCTCTTCACAGTGCATATCAGCTAGTTAGAGCAAAGCTCGAGTTTTGCAAGACTGCAGTGTGGCTTTTGAATTTAATATGCAGAGGAAGGGATTCTAAAATGACATGTATTAGAGGCAGACAGGTAGACTTTGGGCTTTCAGACTGGAGAATTACAGTTTGAGTATTATTACTCATGCAAATGAAAATCCCTGGCAATTCAGAAGGTCACACAGACTGCCATCTTCTGAGAAACATCTCCACGAGAAGCTCAATCTGCGACTCTCTGGTCACCTGCAGGGGGCCTGATTGAACATGCCTGTCTTTATCTGCTTGCTTTTGTCTGTCTCTCTGTATGTGTATGACTGACTGCCTTAGTCTTTCCACATACCATTCAGTTACCTTCAATGGACTTTTATTTTTTCAAGCAAAGACAGAAACCCATAAGACACATAACAGCTCGTAAGATACATAATACACAGAAGACCTATGAACCACAGGCAGAGATCTACCCTACCAGAGATCCTTCCAATTATAAGATGGGTCTACTGGAGGAGGGAGGATTGGGTCAAGTGCAGATTATTTCAGATCACTGGGGTTACACAGGGCACTGGTTCACAGGGACTCATTAGTAATGCCTACAGAGGCACTGCTGAAACTACCCCAAGCCAATTTTAGCAGCAAGAGCAGAAAAGGCAGTTACTTGTTAGTGAAACTTACATCATTCAGAGGGCAAGGATGAGAGCTGGCCAATTATTTACAGTTGGCATTGCAACACAGAAAAGACAGAGATGTCACATAAACGGATGGGACCGGGTGACACCAGAGGGAAGAGTACCGACATATCAGGTTAAAAGGCATCGGGGTGGCGGCTCTTTGAGGCAGCAGGCTCAACTCCTAATTGGGAAACATGGTAGATTTTTCTTGAAATATCACGGAGATGGTATGCAAGGGGCGAGGCCCATTTGGCAGGGATGCAGTGTGGGGGATGGCTCTCTCCCTGGCAGATGCAACAGCCAATCAGAAGATGCAGCTGACATGGGTCAGACACGAGAGGGACTCACCACGAAAGCTATCAGACTCCGTTGTGTGTTCTGCCATTGAAAGCAGCTTTTAATGTACTGCAGCGTGTACAGGATGGAACGGCTTATCTTCCGAACACGGTACACATTCCTCTGTAAGACCTGACAGTTAAGAAATATGACAGTGAGAAGAGAGGACATTTTGTTCACAGTTTATTTACTTATTTAAGATATGCACCTATCAAGTACAAATAATATGAAATCCATTTTGATTAATGTAGGATTGGAAATTTTGTAGTGAATCGGGGGGAAATGGGGCCATGTGGCTCAGAGAGACACTGTGCCTGTGATGGGAAGGGTGCTGCTCTGAATGCCAACTAGCAGGGCACAGGAGGGGGGGGTCATAAGCAAGGCACAGGAGGGGGGGGGGGGGCATAAGCAAGGCGCGAGGGGACATAAGCAGAGCTGATAAGCTCCAATTATCTGGCAAAACTCTGAGCAGTCTGCATAGCTGTGCTCTCTGCCATGTTGCGCAGGAAGCCCCGTGCGGCTCACAAAGGTTCAGCAACCCTAAACACCAAGTGAGGAAACCCCCTGCATGCTCAGGGTCTAGTGTAGCTTCCAACACTGATATAACGTCACATCCATCAAGAACACAAACCTTCTTGGAGAACTTGGGATTGTCCTCAATGAACCTTGTCTCTTTCGGCTTGAAGGTTCTGATGCTCGCTCTAACCTATTAGTGTGATAAACACGAGAATGTAAAGCACCTACACTGTCAGGAAAAGGGCCCAATTTGTCCTTTTGACACTACATTTACTTGTTACCCTCAGGGGGCTGCCAATTGTACCCTATCTGTAGGTAAATGAACCTTTTAAGGTACAGAAATGGATCATTTTTGTACCATTGGGGGTACATTAATGCTGTTTGTACCCTGGGGAACAAACCTGTAGCAGGGCTGGACTCTTTTTTTCTGACAGTGTACAAGAATCATATCCAGTTCGATGCAGATAAGGAACACCATGAACATATTCTCTGTTCCTATCCAAACATTGCTAGAAAACTGGAATTATTCTCCACTTTTCAAAAGTGAGTGGTTTCACGCCACAAACTCTGCATTGATGGTCACCAACATACTAAACTACTGGGAACATTCTAGCTCAGTGCAGATCCAATCAGACCTGGAGGAGAAGCTGTGTTCATTAGTGCAGTCTGTTAGGAAGGTTTATTTTAGAGCCAGGCTGAATTGTACAACATTTGCCAAAGGCAAACGCCCATACAGCCTCAGTCCTGGACCTGAGCATTTTGATTGGTCAATCTCTGGGCCATCTGTTCCCAGAATGTGGGCTGTGCTGGGCCTGTCTTCCTGATCTGCCTCTCCGAATGCGACACAGATGGCAATTGCAGCCAAGATGAAGCAGCCTGTAATCACCATGTATTATACACCTTAATTGCCAGTGGAAGTACGATACTTACCGGGTTAAAAAACACATCCATTTCCAGACATATTATTCCTTTTGACAGTCTCCCCAAGTCATGTGTTTTTAACAGGTAAGAGTTCTGTACACCATTTTGTATCTAAAATGCAAAAACGGAATGAAACAGTAATGAATGTATTAACAAATGGACATCAGGGGTCCTCAGCTATTTTTCCTGACGGCCAAATTCCATTGGCAACACATAGTCAAGGTTCGCTGCATCTGGGGCTGGGGGGGCAACAGGAAAGCATTCTTCCTGATGCGCAGGTAGGTATGTATCTATTTTTTTTCTTAGAATTTACACTGGAGTTTCATTGAATATAATAACAATAATTTATTGTCCTGCATTTATTCCACAAATTCTGGACACGCCCGATCCCGCCTGCAAATGAATTAATCGATGGTGCGGTCCAGATTCAACTATGTTTCAGTCCAAATAAGGCCCGCAGTCCACCAGTTTGTGACTACTGATCAACACCAGCATAAAAGTATGTTTATTCTTAGCTAACACAGTCACAAAGCGCCTTCTCTGGGACCTTATTTAACTCTTAAGATAAATACCTGTTTCAGCCTGAAACGGGCACTGTGCAACGCAACTTACAGACAGCAAAGGAATAAGCACTTTCCCCAGGAAGTCGGGAGGTTTGTCTCCGTCTTCATCAAAGATTGTCACTTCCAGATTCTCATGAATATCTTTGACTGGCCTAAAAAACAGCCTTTTATTATTATTTTTGTTTATTATATCAAATATTAAACACCAATGTGCCAACAACAGCAAATAAACTGAGAGCAACATAGCATATATACGAGTAGTACTCATATAGATGGCATATATACGAGTAGTACTCATACAACAGATTACAGCAGAGTATTTTATATATTATTTTTTTGGTTATACTGTATGTGCCAAATAGAAACAAATAATAACAAAGGTCTTCTACTTACAAGGTAAACACAGTGTTCCACTCTGGGTTCAATGTCTTGTAGACAGTATGAGTTTGAAGCCTGTCATTCCCTAACTGTACAACGCAGAATGGGTCGCTCTTTCCTGACAAAACAAAAACACATGTAAGTATAACTCTAAGGAAGATGCCGTCAAACTCCTTTAGAGATCAGCACCAGTGAAGGGAGACTCTCTGTACCATTCAGATCAGCTGCTGACAGATCCGCAGCTTTGATAATCTTGGCCTGGAGGAAACCGACGTCTTGAACGTTTCTGAAGCTGTTCCTCAAATGCTGCAGAGACATTCAAATTGAAATCAGCATTTCATTTTGTGAAACAGTGGTGGTGGGGGGGGTCTGGGCATTCTTGGGGGGTAAAATCAAGCCAGCCCACTTGCTTCACCCGATTCTTTTTCTGGCTCATTCTGATGGTTTGGGATGTTGTCCCTCTCGCCCCTGGTAAGCTGCACACGCTCTGACGCTCCCCCCTCGAGGCCCTTCGGCCCCCCCCCTTCCTCCTCTCCCAGCTGCATCCTTCCCCTCGGCTTGATGGCCATTTTATTTCCTTGCATGTTTCGCGCTGCTGAAGCCAAAGTGACTGTCCTTTTTTATTTCTCCCTGCTGCTCTGCTCCCTCCCTGGGTGGAGTTCCTTCCTCCCGTCTCTGCTGGTGATGTCGGCAGTTTCCCATGGAGTGCACATTTATTAAAGTTCCTTATCAGGCATGTCTGTCTAATCCACTGCTTCTCAGCCGCTTTAGTCACTGGACCCACATTTTTCACGTCACAACACAACTGTTTTTAAATCTTTGAACCAAATACATTTTGTGGGGCGCTGGCAGTAAGCAATTTTTTTTAACCACACACTCTGTGACCCACTGAAAGTGGTCCTGTGAACCACCAGTTGAGAGACTCTTTCACACATTTGTAGGGTTGGACCTTTTGTTCTTTTATTGCAAGAATTCTAAACTGAAAACATTTTTATTCTTTAACCATTTATGGGATTGAAAAAGTATTTCTGTGTGAATAATCTGTTTGTGCGTGTACACCCTCTTGTAATTTCACAACCAAGTTCTGTTCCAACGACCAGGTCGATAAGTGAAATGGTTGGTAAGTGAAGATCACGGCAGCCCCGGCGTGACTGCGGCTGCTTCGCACTGCAAAGATCACTGGCTGTTCCTACTTAAATTAGACAAAGTCGCTGTACAGTTATGCCAGAGTTACTCTCGCTCTGGCATGCATTGTCAGGAGTACAATATATTTGGTCATAAATGCACACATTGGGGAGAATTGTTTTTTTTTTATTACCATCATATTCGTAACATAATTGGTGAGGGTGTAATCTAACTTTAGTCAATGAAGGCTGTTTTTAAAATCCTTAGTATAAAGAAAGTATAGTTACTTTGCTAATCTTGATAAAGCAGGTTTTTCGTGGGTATGGCCTCTCCAGGCACTGGCCAAGAGCATTTATCTCGACAGACGTGTGCTACACTGTGATTTTTTATAGTGTGGTGGCAAGTGAGGTTAGCATATGCTGTCAGTCACAGCCCAGCATAGCCCAACAGGGTCGATCGGGCTGCTGGTTAAAGTGGTATGATTAGAAGCCTGTTTGTCTGCTCACTGGTCTTATTCTGATTGACAGCCGGCTGTGGGGGGGGTAACTAACATATCTGTCCTCCAGCTGCTTCCTCTCGCTGGCATCCTTCAGGGGTGAGGCCCAGAGGTCTGAGATGAAGACCCCAAAGGCAGGTGTCCGCGTGACCAGGAACACCACAGAGGCTGTGCCATCATCTAGAACCTGTGTGTAGATCTGCTGCTGGTTGATGGGAATCTGGGACAGGTCCACCGCAAACCTGTACACAGAGAGAAAACCACTCCATGCCATTGGTCTAGGTGGGAGGAAGAGCCCCCAGTTTGTCAGTGGGGAAGTGTTAACTCTTTGGCTATATGATGACCATCTGCCACGTGCAACTTATGTATGGAGTATAAGCGAAGGCTAAAACACCAAGAGGTGAAGCTCACATGCCCAGGCTCTCTTTATGCTTCCGCCCATCCCGGGCCCAAACTTCCACCTCCAGCATATCAGGGCCATGAATGAAGTGATTGAAGTCAAATCTCTCCTTCCACTGTGGACTGGATTGTTTGCACACAATCTGAGGGAACAAGTGAGGAGGCATGGGAGTTACATCACAGTGAGTGTCAAACTTATGTCGGTCAACCATGTGGTGAGAATGGATTCATGTTTGTGCACGTTAGCGTGTTAGCATGAACCAAATTCAGCACCTCTGGAGTTGAAGGCCGGAGGGAGAATTTTTGTTTTAGCATCCAGACCCATAGGTTGTTCGTGTTCCAGAATGCCAGACCTTTGCTCTGCTTTCTTATAGAAAACTGTGATCACATCAGCATGGCATTAAGCACTGTCTGATATTGGGAAGCCCATGCACCACGGCAGATCGCAGGCGGGCCGCCCAGCCCCAGGGCCCAGGGGCGGGGGGCCCCATTACATGATTACCTTGCTCCTGTACTTCTGGGCTCCCAGTTTGAAGAGCACGAAGACGTCAGCAGGTCCATCAGCTGGGGGTTCCCGAAGCTCCACGAGTGTCACCTGAGCCACGCTGCTCCACAGCTGCTGTATCCTCATGGAATCCAAGAGTGCTCCACGGTGACCCCCCAAGGCCGGCTGCGGAAGCACAGTCACACTTGGGGACTCAATGTCCCTGCCTCTCATTCTCTCAGAAATGACTCCTGTATTTTGCTCTAAAAATGATATAAAGACGTCCTTATGTATGTCAGAATGAAGACTATGGTGTGGGGGCAGTAAATAAAAGCAATTAATCTAAAATAACAGGTCTCACATGCAGCCAAACACCTACAGCCAGTTATCTTGACCTACTGAAGCAACCTACTAGCGACAGACAAGTTCACTGTCATGTTATTTTAACATAAACATGATTTTTCAGCTTGATAAAATTGACCCTCAGTAGTTAAGCACATCTAGTGGAACAGGGATGAAAAAGGAGACACCTTTCCTAAGTTAGTTTAAACACAATGCATTGGTTTGCTAGTGAGTTATAATGGCAGAAAGTGAGTCTTGTTATCTTAAGGCTCAATCCAGTGAAAATTTAGGTTCTCCTGTGTTTAGTTTATGATAACACAGGTCTAAAACCGCAACCCTGAAACACAACGGGAAGATACAGTCCAATGACAGCACCCGGAGTCTGTAGGCAGAGCTATGAGAGACTATTTTATGTGACCAGCAACAGACAGGCAGTGTGTGGCGAAATGCCTGTTAGAATTTATGACATCAGCCCTTGAGCAAAGCTGTGATGGTAGGTTATCTATCACAGAAACAGGTATATTTTAAAACCTGATTTTTTGAAAACAAGTTTCATTTAAGTGTAGCGGGTTCAAGAGCTGTCCTGTCCGGCCCACGGAGCCACATAATACTGGATTTGACAGGGAGCTTATACGATTCAGCAGTGCTTGCCTTAGTCTTTCTGCAGCACTGCAAGCGATGCTGGCGTAACCTTCATGAGAGCTGTGATTAAGCGGGAGACGCCATGGCAGCGAGCCACGGCCGAGGGGGAAGGCGGGACCGGCTGCCTGCTGAATCGCACACTCACTGCTCTGCCACGGCTCCAGGAAGGCAGAGCCCCACCTCCCGCTCTCACTCAGGCCCAGTAATGGGGGGGGGGGGGGGGGGGGGGGGGTAACTAACACAGGGAGATCCAAATTAGCGAAAAAAGAATGAAGGAAGGGGGGGGGGCAGCCAAGCCATGACATCCCCAAGAGTTTATCTTGGACTTGCTTCCATCTCTCTGGCCAATAAAACAGGCCCACTTAATCACAAGAGGCCCCTAAACAGTATCTATTCTTGGTCATTAAACAGAGACTGAGACTGCTTCCATATGGTGCAGAGCAACACGGGACGGCCAGGCGGCTGTGTCCATCGACAGCTGGGACATTACGCTCCAGCATCTGGATTATTGCTTGGGAAGCACTGGCAATTCACGCCCTGATCTCCTCACTTACACAGGGGTTTGCAAAGCAGAGTATCCCCCCCCCCAGAAGAAAACCACGCCAGTCATACAAGCTCCGTTTCCACCCTCTGGGGTAATTATACTGTGTATAAACGGCTGTTTAGGGGGAGAATAGCTACAACATTCCATTCATGGCCTCGCCTTTCCGTGTCAAAAGATAAACGAGTTCTCACTTCAGGGGAAATGTTTCTCTGAGAAAAAAAATCAGACATTGCGCAGTGAATCATCTCTCACGTCTACATCCCAGTTTTATCTAGAGCCCAGCTTCAGAAATTCCTTTACTGTCATTAGAGCAGCAATGCTGCCATGAGATGCTGATCTTCCTTTCCTGCCTGTGTATCTCTGCCTACAGAGCGCACAAATGAAACTGCTTTGTCTTTTTCAGTCTAATTAAAACCAAATTGAAGTTCATCTAGCAGTCTAATCTACAGATTAAAGACAGGCAGACGTATAGGTAAACTGACTGGCAATATAAAAACCCACAAGATAATAAAAACATAAGAACTTTGGCTGAGAATTTTTTTTTTTAACTGCTTCCGATTTCAGCCTAAATGAATTTAATTTATCACTTATTGCTTGGGAAAAAATAGACCAGATTAAACAGTATCTGCTGTAAACTGCAATAAGGCTTTGTTCTTTTTTTTGGCCAATTAAAATGCAAATAAGATCATGTGACACCAGTAGTTTACTGTAATGCACCATTTAAACTAAAAGCGATTACTCAGTGCGGCGCAGAGCACAGCTCATCAGCAGAGACTCTGCTCATTTAAAGCAAAAACATTCTGGGGGCTCTTCAGCAGCCCTCCACCCCCCCCACATTATGCTTAACTACTGGTGGATTGGCATCAAAAAGCAATGGCATCAAAAGCTGCTGCTGACTGCTGCTTTGGGGGGAGGGGTGGGGGGGGGCAATCAAGCGATGGCTATATGATATAGGGCCATGTATAGGCTACATAATATATGGCTACATATAGGCTATATAATGCTGTAGTTGAAGAAAGACCAGCTCTCACAAGGCCGGCCCAGCGGGAAAATTCCCAAACTTCCTGATTGCCTGCAGTAACCAATAGAAACTTTGTTACTTTTCATCTAATGATCTACTGCCCCCTTGTGATAAAAAAATGAATTACTAGTGATCTATTGCTAAAATGTGAACTGGATAATTCTTTGTCTTTGTCTGTTTTTAGAAGATTTTTGTTTTAAATTACTTTTGAGCTTTTCAGCCACCTTATTGCATAGGTGAATTGTTCATAGGAGCCAATCCTTAGTATCAAAGCACAGTAGAGCCGTTGAGCACAGGCAGCACGTCTGGTGCTCGTGACCCATTGATAGATGTGTAACTGTGACATCAGCAGTAACTGTGGAGACCTAGTGGTGCATTATTTATGTTACATGTGTCTTTGGCCTCAGCATGGCTGCGCTCAAGGCGGAGTTTAGGACAGAGGGTGACACCCTTGAAATGTCCTGCAGATATATGAGTGGTGTTGGCCTTGTACAGTGATGTGTAAATGAATTTATTTTGGCCATGAACTTCACTGGCAAGCTTATCTCTACGTAACCTTGCCTGAATGTAAGCTGGACCAGACTGGTGATCAAACTAAATCAACTGACCACAACTTTTACGCACATGCACGAGCAGCACTAATGATTGAAGTCATACAGAAATATTCTACAGGTTGTGCTAAAGGAGAGGAGAAGTTTTTTAGAGTAATAGGTGAACAGGAGTATTAAGAGGAGAGGATGCTTGCATAGCAAATGTTACCCTTGTGGATTTTCCTCCTTTTGGAACCACCTTCGGATCCTAGAAAGCAATAGCAAGTAAATTAACTCCATTATACAGGAGAACAAAATGACTAAAAGAGATCATGCCAAACAGGAACAAAAGTAAAGTCTTGGGGAGGTTTTTTACCACGGGACTCCTGTCCCCGCTGACTCTGAGTGACAGGCAAACATCCACGACTATCACACCCATGTCATTTTCCAGACTGTTCGGGTCTCCTAGATACAACTTCATCTCACGTGTTCTGTAAAAGGACAATGTTCTTGCTTGCTCAGGTAGGGCTTAGAGAAAGGGCTCAGAGCACATGACACACAGCAATCAGACCTGTCGACAGGACTGCAGAGATGCTCTCCTTCTCTGCATGCTCACCTGTTAAGTTCCAGCGTGTTCAGGGAGATGCTGCTCTCTCCCATGAAGTCGTCTGTGGTCAGGTCCCGGTCGTACACCTACGCCGTTACAAGGGCACAGCAATCAGGAAAAATTAGCCAGACATCACAAGTACATCCGCATTTATGTAAAATTCTCCATTTCTGGTTAAAAATGTTCGAAAGCAGCAAATTATGGCTAACCAATGATAACCATAGCAGCCCTGTGCTGAGTATCACTGAGCAGGAAACACAGGCTGGAACAAATAGGGGTGTTTTATATGACCAACTAGATTAGCATCCAAAGAGCAAGTTAATCAGCTAAAGCCTGGTAAGCTGCAATCTCAGCATACCTTAAGCAGAAGTGCCTTCTCCAGATCGTGCACAGGATAGGAGAATGACTCATTCCATGTTGGGTTGAGGCTCTTGTAAACGACTTTGCTTTTGTAAGCTGTCTTCCCGCCTAATTTAAATTTCACGTAGGGGTCACTTGTGCCTAAAACAAATACACAAAAAAGGGAGAGTGAAGCGTAAATGAAAGCATGCTTCCAGCAGAGACCACTTACAACGGTTACCCAGAGTGAAATATGCTTCCACACCAAATCGCCCACCTCCCAGGGCTCTTTCTGCATTAAGAGAGCTTTTGAACTACTGCAGGTGATATGAACACTGCTTGAAGACACAGGACACAGTAGCTGTTTAATAACAAAGGGGGGGAACGTTTGGCAGCCAGAGATAAGTGGAGAATAAAGGCAAAAAGCAGAAGCAACTGGTGTTAATCTGCTAGTGTGTCTGGGGAGCCTGCACCCCCCTGGGAGGACAGCAGGGGGCGGCGGCAGCTTTGTCCAGCATGGTGTTTCTCATTGGCCGAAAAAAATAAATGAGGACAGCACAGCTTCATGAACAGGGGAGGATAAAGGGGTGCTTTTAAAAACGATGGGAGGCCCAAATCAGTCGACAAAGACTCTGTTGGGTCCAGCTGTCAGGCTGAAGTGCATCGTACACCAGCTCTCCCCAGGTCGGGTTCCCCAGGTCGGGTTCGAGAGGAAAACCTCAGCATGACTCTCTGGCCAGTGGCAGCAGAGCTACCAAAAGTAAGAAGTAAAAAACCCTGAGGGTTGAGTCAGTTTCAGGCACCATTCCTTATTAGGCAAGTACAAGGTTAGGGTCCCCAGTGCCTAAAAGTGTCATGAAATCGGGCAAAGTGAAGGTCTCAACTGGAAGGTCTAAGATGGAGCACAAACAGGTGGTGGCCTTGGCAATGTTGTTCAAGTAAGAGCCTCTCCCTGTCTATAGTCCAGAAAGAGAGACACAATATATGGCCTCGTAGACCACAAAGAAAAACTTATAGATGTTATAGATGTAGATGTTATATTTACATTTATTTACTTAACATGCATATTTTGTCCAAAATGATGGTACACGATAAGTATACAGCAGTCAAGGAGATGGCTATAGGCATAAGTGCTGCAAGACCGAACTTCCAATGAATGCAAATTAGCAATGGAGTTACAGCTATATAATACAACACAGCAAAAAACTAATATAAGTTTTGTGTGTGTGTCTGTGTGGGTTGTGTATATATTACATTGTGGGGACCAAAAGTCTTGTATTTTGCTTGGTTACTTATGGTTAAGGTTAAGGCTGAGTAGGGTTTATGGTTGTTATTGTTGGGATTACGGCTGTAACCACTGATCCAGGACCAATGATCTGGCAAAAACATGATGGCCGTTCATCGTGACACTGCCAATCATATGGTTAGCAACTCTTAGCACAAATGCCTTACATTACAGCTAAGCTTCCTGAAACACAACTTGGGCAAGCTGTCAAGTCTGGAATTGTCACAGTTGCAACCCTTGTAAGTATTGTGCAAAAAGTTTTTGTGCATTCAAAAGGAAGCCTCTGTGCTGAAATAGGTTCCTGTATTCTTTCCTGTATTTATGTTAACATTGCACCCATTCATCATCATTTTTTTCAATTTAATGTATGCCACTTGTTTACTGATAGGCTTAAGAGTTAGATAATCATATAATTATTGCCAGCAGATGGCAGCAGCTCCAAATTTAATGAAAAGCCTGAAACGGACAGCAAAATGATAAGATGGTAAGAGTGTCATTATAAAACACAGACTGCATATTTACATGGTCATTGTGCAGAAGCAAGAATTTACCAAAAAACATGACATTTACCAAAAAACTCTACAATTATCGAATCAACAGAGCGCTGGTGACTTTTATGCACTGTCTGCTTTGGCACTTTGCAACCCTGCTCTGTTACTTTAGGTGGTCTGTAATTTCATGGCTGAGTTTCTATTGTTCTTAAACACTTCCACTTTGCAATAATCCCACTTACAGTTGACAGTTAACAGGGAAGAAATTTCATGAACTGACTTATTGCAAAGGTGGCATCGTATGACAGCACCATGCATGAATTCGCTGCACTCTTCAGAACGACCCATTCTTTCACAGATGTTTGTAATCCTGACTGCACGGCCACATTCCTGACTTTATATGCCTGTGGAAATGGGTCTGAATGAAGCACCTGAATTCAATGGTTATGAATTGTGTCCTAATACTTTTGTACATATAGTGTGTGTGTCAAGAAATATCTCAACTCCCTCTTTCTCTCTCTGGGTCAGACCACAATCCTGTCCTGGTACAGAAGCCAGAGAACAAAGTGTAAGAGGATCTGTTTAGCAAAGACCACACATGGTGTAGCAGCCTCCAGGAGAAGCTTCCAAGCTGCAGACTTTGCCTTGGCTGCCTGGAAGTTAGCTGACCCCCATTCTGAAAAGGTTGGCTACAACTAGAGCAATGCATTATTTGTGGGGGATGGATAGATAGATAGATAGATAGATAGATAGATAGATGATAGATAGATAGATAGATGATAGATAGATAGATAGATAGATAGATAGATAGATAGATAGATAGATAGATAGATAGATAGATGATGGATGTATGTATGGATGGATGGATGGACACACGTCCGTCCATCCAGACAGATAAATAGATAGATAGATAGATGATGGATGGATGGATGGACGCACGTCCGTCTGTCCAGACAGACAGATGATAGATAGATAGATAGATCTCATAGAAATCATTTTTCTTTTGACACCTTTTTGTATCAGTGCATTGGCACCTTCAGAACTCTGACTAAAAAGCTTCTAATAGGATTTGAAATGTTTCTGTGTCATTATAGCGAAACACATTGATTGGCTGCAGGCTTCTCATTCGTACAGCAATGCACTACTGGCTCCCTGAGGGCAAACAGCACAGCTAATTCTGATCTGTTAGGCCCAATCGCTCCAAGGAAGGCCCAAGCTATCATTTACTGACACCCTGTCTGATGACACATTCTGTCTGACCTGACAGGTTTCTGGTCAGCTACACTGAAGAACAGGCCCAACTGAATAAAGGCCTCATTTGACTTGAGTATGAAAAACATCTCTCACCACCAAATTTGCTTCTGCGCGCTGGTGTCGTGAGATGCAATTTCTGAGCAGTTACCTCTACACACAGACTAATGTCCTTTATTAAGTAACGCATACATTTCTACAGTCTGAAAACCACTGTCATCACAGTTTATCAATGGACCTAAAGGTTCATTAGTCTGTCATACTATACATGCATAATGTAAATAAGTACACATTAGCTCGAGACTGAATAAAACAAACAACCATGTGAAAATATGCACCTTCCCTATAGGGGCAGAGTGTGGCTCTGTGGGTTCGGAGTCTGAGCCTTTCATTAGAGTCACTGGTTAAAGCCATCCTGTTCATTTGACTTCCTCTGCTGGCCCCTGGAGGATGGGCTTCCCCTTTTGAGTGTTGTTCCTCTCAAGGTTTCTTCTTTCTAGGGAGTTTTTTTCCCTGCCACTGTCACCTCTGGCTTGATCTCTGGGCGCTTTGGGCAGGCATAATATAAAGCATTTTGTTACCCTGTAATGCTGTGAAAATGCTCATTACAAATAAAATTGAACTGAATGTCACCATTAGGCCCCTGAGAAAGGCCCCTAACCCCCGGCTCCAGGGGTTTTGTACATTGGCTCACCCTGCGCTATGACCCTGAAACTTGCTCTCACCTGTATGTGTCTGTATGTCTCATAGAGAACAAGATGGGATATGGGAAAGGAACAGTTTCCCCACTGGAATGAATAGAGTGTCAATGCTCTATTCTGCTGTTGTTCCTTATGAATCCCTCACTGCTGGTGAATAATCCATCTTTCCATCTAATTCAAGGTTGTGGTAGCTGATGTATTTCTTGTATGCAGACATAATGCAGTGCCACATGGTCCCTCAGAACACGATAACAAAATAGATACAAAATATATGGCACTGGAAGGTTTCGGGTTCGAGTCCTTGGCTTAGAACTTAGAACAGCAGAAGTTTATCATAAGCAAATATTACAAATGCATCACTTCCATCAAGATGAACTAAATCAGCGGAACATGGTGCATTTGCTGAATCTGTTTGCAGTTTCATATTTCATTGGCCTCCACCATTTCTCAACAGCCCCTTTCTGTAAAGCTGTTTGGGAACAGCTTTGTCATCACAGGTGTCTGTGTGCATTATAATTTCCATGGTACCTCCTTTAATGACATTAGAGGGAAAGTGTATATATGACAAAGAGATAAGCGGATAGCTGGAGGTGGACTTTTCACATGCCTGCAGAAATGAATGCAGTCCTTTGTTGTTCTACATATGCATGTAAAAGGTCAAACCTCCCTGGTGGATTTTTATTTTGTTTTAAAAACACAAATCAAGTTGGTGTCATTTTCGGCTGCTGGAAACACATTCTACATGCTAACTCATTTCAGACGAGATGACCCTCTGTGCCCAGGGCTCCCACATAGTGCTGTCTGACTAGTGTGTGTGGCCAGGTCTTTCTCTATACTCTGTACACCTTCTGTTGATTTATGCACACTTTAATTCTGTGTGTTGTCTTGCATGTTTTCCATTGTAAATTATGTGAGCCGTACCAGCAGCGTACTGGCGCTGATGTGGCTCTGGTTATACTAGCAGGGCCGAAAGCGTGACTAAACCAAGATGGCTACATCACCACTGTCTGACTGGTTCAAATGCATGGAGATACCAGTGATCTGTGTAGATATGCATGGAATGCCTGAAGGATTAAGGGCGCATTCAAGGACACAAGAGAAGGCTAATTCTGCTACCGTTTGATGCTAACATTATACTTTTTGTAACAGTCGTGCTACCAGAAAACGTGTGAAAAGTAAATAAGTGTCTCCTCGGTTTTACGTCGCTGTTGCTCTAAAAACTCAGCAATATCTTTACTGAGCTGCACATTCTGCAGTGGGAAACGTCAGCTGACAGGGGACGCCAAGTGTCTTGCTCTTCCTCTTATGTACAGAATATATTCTGTGCCACAAAAGCATTATTTAGTGATGAAATTAATAATAGTGAATTATTTTATTTACGTTAACTCTGCATATTCACTACATCATATTTATTGCGTTCTATAGCGACTGCTCACAGTTATTCATTTTTCATTCCATCTACCAATAAACTGTGAAAAGGATTTTATTGTTGCTACTTTTCTTGCGTTTCAAACTGCCTTTCCAAAGTGATTGGTGTGGAGTGCAGTGACATTCCAGACTGATACACATTGATAACGGCTTGGTGTGGCGTGGTACAATAAACTTTTTTTCTAAATAGTATGAGAAGTATCTAGTGAGTGCGGTTCCTTTGTTGTATTCCAGACTGATGGGCCATTGACATTATGCAAACTACTACAGGTGTGGGGACATCTATCTCATCAATATTCATTGTATAGGCCACTGATTTTGAAAAAAAGAGTGTCACTCCAAAGTTCTAACACTTTAGTAATCAAACCACATAAAATTTCAAAATGTCTCATTCACCTCTGTATAGCCAACCCCTGTGTTTATAAGCTTCAGAGCTCATAAGTCTTGGCTAGAAATGTTTATAATGTGTTTTTTTTACAATTTCTCAGCACGTCTGAATATAGGTTTTTGAAAAGTATATGTTTAAAGTTGATTTTAACAAAAAAAAAAAAAAATAATAAAAGAATAATAACATTTTAAGTGGTCTCAGATTATTGGTGCTGAGTTTGTGTGGAATAAAAGCCCATGTAACACTTTGGGATAAATGTTTTTTAGATGAAATATTTTAAAATGTCAAGGCAAGTCAGACTACCCTGAAGGTGGTTCAGAGGCCTCAGACTGCAGAGGGTTAATTGCTACATTTTGTACACAGAAAGACAAACTCCAGTGACATTTTGTCCATGAAAGCGTAAAGACTTCACCTTCATTTGTGCACAGGAATCAAAAGGAATGTATCATTTTGTGCACAGAATTGATGTCAGTGCTTTACATTTTGTGCACAGAGTGGATAAGTCATTTTGTGGACGAAAGTCAATACATGAATGAAAGAAAGTGATTTTGCTTAAGAAATCCATTTCTTGAATGTTTCACAGTCATTTCTTGTGCATGATTTCTGTGCATGAAAGAAAGTGAAGTCATTATGCTGGACAAAATGTCACTGGAGTTTGTCTTTGTGGACAAAATGCAGCAAAGGTACAACTTGATTTTGTCATTACAATGCTTCTTGTGGCACAAAAATGAGCACTTGACACTTGGCGCCCCATAAGCTTCAATAATAAATAATAAAGTCAATAATAAAGTACACTTGGCTGTATCTAATCTCTTTTTGCAGTACAGGTCGGATGCGGCTTGGCTCCTGTATGCCAGTGGAAAAGAGCCAAAAGTGGCCACTTTGGATAGATTCGGGCTGATCTCTGTGTCTTAGTTTTGAATCGTGATTGGTGTATTTTGTTTTTACACAGTGAATGCACTGTGTTCTGATTACTTCTTGGTTATCTGAAAATGCGAACTGCAGTACATTCCAGGGGAACAGTGCATCACATGTCACGGCTGAGATTAAGTACTCACTATGCCATGGCATAAAAGTGTAGTGCATTATCACTGGATGATGCTTGATTCCTGATCCATAGTTTGGCTCGGTTCAATTGGACTTTCAGTGATTACAGTACGCTGTCATGCAACCTCTGACATGTCAATCGGGACCCCGATGGCCGACGACCTTGAGTGATCACACAAGTCTGCGGAGACTCCAGGCTGAGCCTCTGAGGTGAAACTATGGGCTGATATTTGTGCCACTAGAAACTGAATATGAATATTGTATATTTGAATCTGTAGTTGTCGCATTACAAAACTGAATCTGAATTTAATAGTTTGAATCTGAATTCAAATAACTTGAAACTGCATTTATCCTATTCAGCCTTTATTGCCACAGTGAGGTTACAGCCAAGGCTGAACACCCTGCAGGAGTGTGTCCAATACTGTTTTACACTTATTTTTATACATTTTCTTATCGTGTAACAATATCTTGTCACTTAAGCATCATCATTTCTTCAGCCATTCACCATCGTTGTTTTCTCCCTTGATCCACGCCCCTAGGTGATAAATTTGTCTATCATCTCTTTTACTGTTTGGTCCCTCGGCTGAACATAATGGTGGTGTGACCATCTCTGGTTTTTTTAAGTACCCAGCCGTGAACTTTTGGTGAACTTAGGCGAATCCCTTCCTTCAGTAGCAAACCTTGGCAACTTCAGCTTGTTGCACATTGTCTGGCTAGAGGGTTAATAATATATTTGTCCTTCAACATAGTGATAAGCTGCAGCACTAATAAAGTACATATTCATACATCAAAGGCTAACAAAATAGCTGACAGATACATAAACTTCTAAGCCAACACAAGGTGCTCATTCATACTTGTTTTTCGTCACATTGTGCACAGCAGTAATTGGTCTGCATTCTCTGAAGGTTACAAAGTCACTCTCTGCACAGTTTACATCAGCTTCTTGATAGAGTGCTAATGATTACATTCTCTGTGCATTATGAAGTGCTAAATAATATTCCATACTCGCATATTAGAAATTAATACTGACTTCCACCTCATATCAGCGAGATTAATATTTTAAAAGATATTTAGCATAAACACTGATAGAAAGCCACATGAGATGAACAGGCGAGCCATAACTTAAACTAAACGAAGTAAAATTCATATCCCTAGCTAGTTTTGCATTAGTCTACCATATTAAAATAAACTAGCAGTGTCAGAAATCGTTCATTTAACCACATATACTACCATACTAACCAGACCTATGGTTAATGTTTATGCTATCGCTTGTGTATATAAAGCTTATTGTCATATATATCAAATGAGTTGCGTTGTGAACCCGCGGTCGATTACTTTACCTCAAGGACCACATGTGTGTCTCAATAGATTGAAATTTAATTTTCGAACTGAAAATTTTCCAGGTAGGATAAATGCAGTTTCAAGTTATTGGAATTCAGATTCAAACTAATAAATTCAGATTCAGTATATGAAACACTCTGTTAAACCAAGTGGCTAAACCCCATTGACTGAATAAGCTGTCACTGTGCTAATTTATAGCAACCCTTCCACCCTGGAGCCAAGACCACATGAGACCGATATTGTGTTTGTAGATTCACCTTATCAGCCAAAGCCAATCCTGTGTAACACAGCAAAACTTCCTTACCTTCCTCGCATTTTATAGCATTGTGAATTTTTATAAGTTGTGAGTGTCATTACAAAATTCTGCTCAATTTCTGTGTATCATTCAGCTGTGACAGGAAGACACTTAATGGTTTGTTTGTTTGTTTTTTAACACATGACTTGGAAAATTTTCAAAAAGAATTTATTGATTAGTATAGCAGACAACCCTGGGAATGCAATATGTCTGTGTTCTATACCCACTTACACACGCGCACTGATCTAACGGTATCTGGAGACTGGTGGCCATGATTCTGAGGTGTGTGCCTGCCATTACTGAGCTTCCTGACTTCCTCTACTGCTGAGGATGTCATGAAAAGGGCTCTGCTAGGCTCAGGGTTAGCTGGGTAGCAGGCTGCAGTCTCACGGGAAGCTTTCTGTGTGCCTTTGAATGAAGTTACAGGCCTAGACTGCTCCACTAAAATATCCAGCCATAAAGATGGGCAATCAGCTTTGGATGAGAGTCAGCAAGGCCATCTTGATAATTGTTTTTTTTATTTTTAATGATTTAATTACGTGCTAGCTAAACCCTGGTTAAAGGTGGAAAGACTCCATACCACAGCGATCCCGGACCACCAGGTCTCGGCCTTCCTTTAGGTTGACAGTGAGCAGGTAGAGGATCTTCTGAGGTACAGCTGGGGCCTCGCCATGACCTGTCTCCATGACCTGGGTGGACACAAGGCACTTAGGGGGATGGATTCCTCTTATTTCCATTTTTTCTCTGTCACTGACCAGTTTCAGGACAAACTTTCACAAAAAGCGTGACTCATTTTTCCAGAATTAAACTGCCTAGCTGTGGCATTGCTAAGTTACTGGTTGCCCGTTCGAAGTTTCTCTAGAGACTCAAACCCACAGACCTATTTAGAGTGTAAACCCTAACCACAACTTAACGAAAACTGATTCTGGAAGAAAAGCTGCAATTTTTTGCCTCTGTAAGTGGAAAATCCCCTTTAAGATTATATAAACACCAAACAGATTGCGGTTTGAACAGTGATGCATAATACTTCCCAGTCTGCCCAGTGCTGTTCACTGGCAAGCTGCTCCTTTAGCGGCAAGCTGACCTGAGCTCGACCCGAAGCAATCGCTCAGGCTGACGGCACGTTTGAGTGTGTTTACCCCCAACACTGCTGCCACCTCCACTACGAACCTTAACGCTGCTCAATCTCATCTCTCAAACAGAAATAACCGAGATAACAGGCAGCCAGTGAGACCTGGGCTGCTTGGTACTCACACTACTATCCTGCAGGCCCTGACATCTGTTGACATTATGGTTGCAGCTGCTGTTTTCCTGCTGTGGACACACAGAGAAGAAGGTTGGCGTTTCTGAATAGCCATATAACATCACGTTTCAATATCATCTATGCAACACCATTTTATTACACATTGCATTCAGAATCTTTTATTAGTTTGTTATAACACACTCTTTCAGTTTCCATCAAATACATGACATAAGATACTTATGCTATATTAAGGTAAGTTGGGCTGTATGAAGAATAAGTGTGCAGTCAATGAACAGGAGATGAATTCATGCTTGTGGGGACTTGTGGGGAGATAATGGCACAATGTTTTCTTCAAAAACCACTTGTACAAATTATGCTGGCAGGGAGTGTTTTTGTTTAAAAAAAGAAATGGCCACCATCACAGTGGAGTTCTACAGAGTGGAGACTATTTCTGGAAAAGGAGAATGTCTTTCATTATATAAAGGAACCAAAATGCCCCGTTATCTATGTGTGTTCATTTGCAAAAGCCACTTAATAAGCAAATAAAGACCCCCTGTGGTGAACTGGATACTAGATTTCTCGACTGACAGGCCACAGTCAGAATCGGCACCAGCACCATCACCCTGAGCACAGGTGCGTCACAGGGCTGTGTTCTCAGTCCACTGCTCTTCACACTCCTGACCCACGACTGCACAGCAGAGACCAGCTCAAACCAGATCATCAAGTTTGTGGACGACATGACTGTGGTGGGGCCTCATCAAGAATAACAACATTTCTGCATACATGGAGGAGATGGCGAGAGTGGCTCAGTGGTGTAAGAGCAACAACCTCTCTACAACAGAGCCGTAAACATTGTAAAGGACCCTTCCCACCCACCTCACAGACTCTTTTCTCTCCTACCCTCCAAAAAACGGTATCGAAGCTTCCGTTCCGCCTCTACCAGGCTGTGCAACAGCTTCATACCACAAGCCATCAGAACTCTGAACACACACTAATATCTGGACTGTCTCTCTTCAAATTCCTCTAAACTGCATATACATACTACCTCTAAATTGCAACTGCACTTTACTTACTTACGAAGTTCACATCTCTGAACTATTTATTATCTCTGTGCTATTTATTTACTGCCTGTCTGCACCTTGCACGCCCTGAACTGCGATGTTAAGTGTACTATATGTTACTATATGTTGCACCGGGGCCATGGAGAAACGTTGTTTCATCACACTTTGTACATGTATGAAGCTGCTGATGACAATAAAGTGACCTTGAACCTTGAAATAAGTAGGGCTGTCACAATCATGAAATTTTAGCTGAATGTCATAAATAATTGTGATTGACAATTTAATCATGATTTTCTGTTCATTTTATAACAATATCATAGAGTAAGCCTCATAGCCATGCCCACCTCCAGAACATCTCAGTTATTGATTGGCCACATTAAAATCATGTCTGGTGAATGTCTTTGGTTCTCCAACTCGGATCTACCTACTGGACTGCAAGCCTGGTATCCAGAAAGAAATTTCTGGGGAGTTCCCCCTTGACAAATTTTGCCAATTGGGCCCTGAGCAACTGCCAAATCTACCGAAGCCTAGATGTGTCTCTGTGGTTCTGTATACTCAGTAATATTCTGGTTTGCTGGTTTGGCTTTCTGGTTTTCTCATTCCGTATTTCTCAAGGTTGATTCTCTAATTTTAAGTTTGTTTCCGGTGTTGACTTGAGTTTGACTTATTCTTTGTTTCTGGTCGCGCTCTGCTTTTCGAAACCTGTTTGCCTATTTACAGACCTAGTATAGCCATTCAACACAGTCCAGTGTTTTACTGATTTGACTATAGCACTTGAGTTCTACTAAGCCACCTGAAGTATGTGCTTCACAGTCAGAAGGCCATGCCATATCAGCTCTGAGTACTGCCTTGTTATTCCAAGTTAACTGTATGAGAACAAATGAGACCAGGTTGTCCAGGTTGTCCACAGACTGGTTGACCTCACAAAGCACTGTCACCATGTTCCCAGTGGAATCAAGGACCTAATCCTGAACTACTACTGCAACAAGTTACAACATCTGACAGGCACTAGCTTGAAAAAGGCACTATTTCCAGAAGGGATCGGTCTTCTGATTTCCTTGCTCTTTCTCTCCTTTCTCGGGTGCCACTGAGCCTTGCAGAGGGTCATCTTCTTCTTCCTCAAGGTGTTGCACAGCTCAGCTTTCAGTTGTTGTTTTTTGAACCCTTTCTGGGGGTTTCTAGCTTGTGTCACAGTCAGCATATTCTAGCAGCTCTGTGCTGTATAGCTGGGATTGGTTTTACCTTCTTCAATGTAGCTAATCCTCTCTGAAGCATGGCTGATGATGATGGTCATCATCATTTCGAGTCAGCCGTCCACCTCTCCCTTAGCTACGGCTTCAATTATGTTGCAAACATCTCTGCATGGCTGGTTCCACTCCTTTTTGATAGCTGGTTAGGGATGATTTTTTTTGTCAAATTTCAGTTCCTAGGCTGACCGGCTGTGGTGTTGGAGGGACTGGGCTCTTGGGGAGATTCCTGGTCAGGCTTTTCAGGCATCTGACCAGGTTCAAGTCCTGTGTGCTGCTCCTCAGTCACTAGCTCCAAGCACTTCATTCTGACCTGAAGAATCTTGAGGCCTCTCTGGCTCTTACAGATGCTTCCCCAGGCATGCGCCATTGTTGGGCCATTCACATGGGCCAATAACTGTTAGCCTGTTGTGATGGGGATCTCACCCTGGAGATATGTTTTTGTGGAACTCACCAAGTCAAAGTGAACTTTATAGTCGTTTCACCATATATAAGTATACAGGGAGACAAAATGGCAAAGCTCAGGATAGTGCAATATACAGGTAGTGGGAAATATGTCAGTATAATTAACTACCATAAAATATACAGACACACATTAAATGCAGTGACCTGGTCAAATACTCATATTAAACCTCAGCTTAAGCTTCTTATGTCTGAATGAGGTATTCAAACCAAATTTTTTATCTAACAGTATAGAGAGTATAGAGATACCATCATGCAGTATAAAAATATGTGGAATGTGTAGTACGTAACAAAATACTTTATACCTGAGTATAGAAAGTAATAAAACTTCCATAGTTTGGCTGGATTTTCTCCACAAGGAAGACACATGCTGAGGCATTAACTATCCATCTTCTATAACTGGGTATCAAGTGTAGCATTACAGTGAGTCTATAGCCTATCCCAGGAAGAATTAGACATAGGCTGTGGACACCATGTGCGGGCAGGTACATACAATCACACACTATGGGCAATTTATATATTATTCTCCTGACTACATCTTTATATACTGCAGCAGGATGCCAGAATATCTAAAGGAAACCCACACAAACATGCAGAATGCAAATTCCATACACAGAGGGGGAGAAGCAATCAAAACTCAAGCTTGGATGGGATCATCAAATTCTTCTATTAATACTGATTACTTTACCTGTTTTTAATGTTATGGCTGATTGGTGTTTACTTGCACCATTGCTAAAATACAGCTCCAGAAAAAATGAATAGACCACTCTATATTTTTTTAAAATCTGTATTTTTAAATCCTGGTGTAATTCTGGTTCTGCTGGCAGAAGGCTATGTTGCATAGTAGGCTGCTTTCTAAGACAGTAGTACACAAGAACACAAGGTGAAGCAGAAGACACAGGGAACGGCCAGAAACCAGCCAGGTAGAGGGCAGAGGAGACTTTCTAATGGCAGAAATGACCATCAACTTATCTGACTGTACCTCGTACATAGGAGAATGGGAAACATTAAGTGGTGTGAGGTGCACTACTAGGACAGTTCATAACAGGCTCCCAGAAGTAGGACTGTAGTCCCATAAAGCAAGGAAGAAGCCCTTCACTAATGTGAAACAGGGAAGAGCCAGGCAGGAGTTAAAGTGTATTTACATAAACACACACCCATAAATTGAGAAATGAGTAAAACAGAAAATTTTGCTGTGGTCTTTTAATTTTTTGCCAGAGCTGTATTGCTTGCAAACAACAAACCAGTCCCATCATTGTACAGTTAGCAATTTAACACCTTCTTAGCTGTTTCTCTCTCAACATAAACAACCGCAGTCAGAGAGACTAGCATTAAAACTGTAGAGAGGAATTAGGGTGTGACTGGTCTTGAGTCCTCTGAAAAGGCACAAACTGCTCGTCATCAGTGACTCGTTCTGAGAGATTAGGTGACAAACAAACCAGCGTTGCCCAGAACCCAAGCAGTGAGGGATGTTGTCTTTCTGCAGCTTTCTGTTCCCAGAAAAGCCACCATCCGGCTGCACAAACAAGGCCTGTAGCCAAACCTTTAAAAAATGACAAAGGATGCTTAAAACCATCCTGTATTTTTTTCAATAAAATGGCAAGGATACCTAAATCAGCAAAAACGACTGCAACTCTGAAATCCTATGTGAAGGCGGAACAGGCCATGGCTGAGCTTACACAACACATAGCATGACCCCCCACCCAACAGCATTTGACAGGAAATTTGAGACAATAGGAATTTTAGGGGACCAATCCTGGTTGAAAATAACTCAATCTCAGTTGCTAGTAATGTATATCTCTTGAATTCAGATAGCAACTGCAACAGGATTAGAGTATGTGGGCTGAATGACACTACCTGATTCAACAATACCTTTGCTATAACCAGACATATTGTCATTGTAGGCAAACATGCAGATTTCTTGAATGTGCAGTCATTAGCACATACCTGTTCTTTCATTCATATAAGCTGAAAGTGTCCTTATTAGCTTCACCTGGCATATTACTTATAACAAAGTCTTAAACTAATTGATTGCTTTGATGCAAAAATAGGGGCAGCATGGTGGTGCAGTGGTTAGCACTGTTGCCTCACACCTCTGGGACCAGGGTTCATGTGTGTGGAGTTTGCATGTTCTCCCCGTGTCGTCATGGGGTTTCCTCTAGGTACTCCGGTTTCCCCCCACAGTCCAAGGACATGCTGAGGCTAATTGGAGTTACTAAATTGCCCGTAGGTGTGCATGTGTGAGTGTGCCCTGCAATGGGCTGGCCCCCCGTCCTGGGTTGTTCCCTGCCTCGTGCCCATTGCTTCCGGGATAGGCTCCAGACCCCCCGCAACCCAGTAGGATAAGTGGGTTGGAAAATGGATGGGATGGATGGATGTAAAAATATCCTATTTTTGTATCTGACCTCATCTCAAATACGGCAGGGCAATATCACTAAAGGGATCAATCCATCAAATGAAGAGCACTTGCTGGGAACTGGTTTAGCTGATGGATAGAAGATGACTGATACCACACACAAAGAAGCCAAATATGCGTACGCTATCTGAATAAAAAAAATATTTTTAGAGACTTTTCACAGGCTAAATGCACAATGACAACAGCAGCTACATTACAGAACTACGAAGCAAATGAAAATCCAGTGTCACTTTAGATTTTCAAAGGCTTTGTTTTGAAATCTGCATAGTGTCACTGGAATAAATCCTCCTTAAAGAAACAAATTCTGCAGCACAACCTGCTATCATGACCAAAGAATTCATATATAAGGAATGTTGCTCTGCCATGTAATAGTTTTCAAAAAATATACCGAGTTACGTGACTGAGTAAACTGAAAGCTATAACATGTACTGTGCAAATACACAAAGAAGGAATATGTCATGCAGGACTCATGCACTAAAAGTATTTCTGACCTCCTGAGATACTTCCTCAGATGGTGGTTCTCTTGTTGCTATGGAGACAGTCTCCGCTGAGTCTGCGTCGCCCGGCGCCCCAGCCGGTGCCGAGCCATGCTCCTGGGGGGCCATCCTGTAAATGGACTCCACAGAACCCCACTCGGTAGTGCTGTCAGAGTCCGGTGCAGCCAGCATGCTGGAGCGGCCGTCAGGCGTGTCTGCCTCCCTCGCTTGAGCACGGCATATGTCCGGCTCAGACGTGCTTTTTCTGCAGTCCGGCTCTTGCTTGCGCCGGGACGGCTCAGGCCTGCTGCCCCCCCGCTGGTTCCGAGTGCGCAGGTTCCCAAAGAACGGCCTTGCCTTCTGCCGCAGATTCCCCCAGACGCTGGGCTTCTTTCCCTCCATCCTGGGGGCCGTCCTTGAACCTTTAAAGTTTTAATTACTACAACAAAGCAAAACATTTTCATTTAGCAAAATAACTTTTAAAATAAATCTGTTCAGCATGTAACAGAAACAAATAATAAAAAATAATTTAATATACACGAGGAAACCACTAAAAATTGTACCTATTCCACACATCTGGAATACATTCTTAAAAATCCAGACTGATTACAGGGAAAAAAAGTAATGTGAGTTATGCAATATCGAAAAACTTGAACAAGGCTCATTTTAAGCATAGTGGGTAAAACTGTAAAACTCAGATCCAAAAGTGAGGCTTCACAATCAATCAAACACTATGTCAGCTAGAATTAACACAAAGTGAAAAGTGAGAGGTATAGGAGTCTCTGAGCAAAGATTCACCAGCAGTTTATCGGGGCTGGTATAACGGTATGTATACTGTATGTCAATTCACCTTTGCTTTATTTTTCTCAGTTAATCCTTGTGGCCTTATTCCCATAATCCCAAATCCCATGTGTCCACAAAAACTATCCGGGTGACTTAACACAATTCAGGATATGACGCAAGCAGCAAAAGCCCCACAGCGCGTTCAGGTAGTGTCACAATCCCGGTCCAGGCCCTTCATATTCTGTGTGACAGCTCAAATCCTGTAACTGTAGCCAGGATATATTACCCTGGAGGTGTGTGCACCAAATGTGCAACCATGGTGAGGTACTGACTCTGGAAGTTCACTGTAGGTAACAGGGGTCTGTAACCTGAGGATATATAAGGGCAGGACTTTAATCACTGGAGTGTGGAGCAAGTAAATACAAGCTAAGAAAACCAACTCAAGAAGTCAACACTTAAGTTGTGTTTCGTTCTATAGGCTGCGTGGCTCTCAAGGCTAGAATCCTGTGTCTGTGATCAGAATATCAGAGGTGATCAAATATCAAATAGTGAAGCTGTTGGCAAATACTGTATGTAAGTCTCAGACAGGCCTAAAGAGTTTCTAATGCAAGCTTACAGGATACGTGTGGTGCACTACTTCCCTTATTAGAATACTCTCTAACCACAAGTTTCCACCCATGTAATATGAGTTGTCATGGCTACTCTATTGAGCTTGATTACTCGATTTAAAAAAAAAAAAACAACAAAAAAACAGATTAAAATTTTCTTTCTCGATGACTTGGCAACATGGCAGAAGGAAGCAGATGAGGGTCCAAATAAAGAGTGAAAGCATCAGTTCTGTGGAAGCACTTCATGTGGAAAGTGAATGAAAATGCAGTCGTCTGTCAGAACTGCAAAGCAGAACTTAAATCATCAGACTGCAATGCAAATACATCTTATAAGACGACATTCAACGACAACCAGCAGACACAAAGCAGTGCCGACAAATCGCTTGCTTTTGGTCAATATCATGCTGGAATCCAAAATGTTTCCATACAGTGGAAGACAAATGCATTTTCATAACTGGTTCTCGTTCGCTTTTCCCCTCCTCAGTCATTTTTGTTAAATTTCTCAGAAATGTGCTACACTGTGTATGAAAACAGCAAAAGGATGTGAATGATTTTGATTGCATGCAGAGCTCATTTAAGTGTTTTTGTTTGCGTTTAACAGATAAATACTAGACAGTGTTGAAATCTTGATAACGAATGATCTGTAAATCTGCAAAGCTTGCTACGTTTTGTTTCCTATGACAGTAAAAATGTTGTAGTGCAACACATTGATGGTTTCATTCCAGAAGACTATCACAATCCTTGCAACTTGTGCCAACTACATGTGCAAAACACAAGATATCGGTGTGAACCTCACACATCATGCAAGGCTAAAGGTGGCACAGTGCGTAGCAGTCAGCACACACCACTGCTCATTGTGTGTGGAGTTTGCATGTTCACCTTGTGTGTGAAGGGGTTTACATTGGATCCTCTGCTGTCCTCCAACTGTGCAAAAAATGCAACCAAAGTGAATTGTTAGTATCTAAATTGGCCATGTGTGAGCGAGCGAGTGAGTGAGTGAGCGAGCAAGTGAGTGAGTGAGTGAGCGAGCGAGCGAGTGAGTGAGCGAGTGAGTGAGCACCCCGAAATCCAGGGTTGCAGAATACTGTGCTGTGGGCACTGGACATGGTGACAGCGCAGCGACTGACAAGCACGAGAAAAGCACATCAGCTTTTACTGATGTATGTCCATCACACTAACAGACCACATACACTGCCCACCTTGTTGGCTGCCTTGACTACTTACATGCAACACAGTGAGCGCACACACACACACACACACACACACACACACTTACAACAGATAACTTTAAACACCAACTGTGACATTACCAAACACACAGCTACACATTATTTACACCTGTCACCTGCTTGCCACCACATTGCCATATAATGCTGTACCCACATAGACAGACAGACAGACAGACAGAGACAGACAGACAGACAGAGACAGACAGAGACAGACAGACAGAGACAGACAGAGACAGACAGACAGACAGACAGACAGACAGAGACAGACAGACAGACAGACAGACAGAGACAGACAGACAGACAGAGACAGACAGAGACAGACAGAGACAGACAGACAGAGACAGACAGACAGACAGACAGAGAGACAGACAGAGACAGACAGACAGACAGACAGACAGACAGACAGACAGACAGAGACAGACAGACAGACAGACAGACAGACAGACACTTTATTCATCCTCTCAGGGAAATTCAGGAGCTGACTTTGTTAGGAGCTACAGGGACATACTGCCTGTCGGTGTGGCACATACTGTATTGTGGCCTGTATCACAAAGCCGGATTTCTTGCTTAGTCGCATAACTTGAACAAATTTCATGTGCCCCAGTTTACATTTAGCCCAGATTACCTTAAAACTGACAAGTTATCCGCCTAAACAAGAAATCCTTTCTGGTTACTTTCCTGTATTTTCCAGATTCTGCTTGACAGAGCTATGGAGCAATAAAGCACTGAGACCCTCCATCCTAGTTCTGGGGTAAACAGCACCATGTTTGTAGTCCCCAAAGGGCTTCACTGAGGGCAAAATATCAGCATAAGCCAGTGATGGAATAGGACTCCTCCGACAAAAATGCTTATACCTCACAAATGGAATATCATTGAAAGAAAGTTTATTCCAGAGACTTTTCAGGATCCAACGATCCCCAACTGGGTAATCCTAAGTATCCCAGCCAGCTAATATTCGCTCCAGGCCTGTGGAACTAAAGACAGCTTTCTAGGTATGTTTTAAGGTTTTCAGAGCCCAGAAGCAAACCAAAGCTAAGTTTATTTAATAAAAGGTAGCAGTTAGTGATTATCATCAGCTTTTGCTACATTTTTTTGTGATTTATCGGTTTAGCATTATCAAGTTAATCTTTGGAGTTAGCGGATTAGCGGTAACTAAAGATAACTTTTTGGTTAGCTGTGCCCCACAATGATTATTATATTATATTATATTATATTATATTATATTATATTATATTATATATTATATATTATATTATATTATATTATATTATATTATATTATATTATATTTAGTATTGGGAAGTTTAGCACATTAACACGTTGCGTTAATTTTAAACTCATAACACATCACTATTTCTTTGATCGTGTTAACGCAGACAGTATTTTCTTACCCAAATGGCAGAATGGAAAGAGCACAGATTATGATAGAGACCTATAATATTCCTTCATGGCTGTAGACAACATGAGAGTTTAGGTCGTGACGTTGCACAGAATCACAAAATTCAGAGCTAAAATCAAAACCTTCAGTTAGCATCTCACGGGGAAGCTGATGTTACCAGGGGGGATTTCTCAGTTAGCTTGGTTACCTCAAGTAAGCTTCCCCACTGGTGCCCCAGCCTGCGCCGCAGTCAAATTGGCTGGCTAAGAAAACGCCTCCTCAGAAAATGGCCCCCTAGGCGGCTGTCTATGTTGTCTAATCATCCCCTTGAGAACCTCCCAAGAACCGTACAGGCAGTCCTCGAGTTAAGAACATACAACTTACAGACAAGTCATGTTTGTGAATAGACTGCCATGAAAGCTATTATATTAATTTGAGTTAAATACAATGGTTCATAATAACAAATGCACACGCTGTTTTGTTACGCTCATGTTCATGCAGCTTCAGTGATTCGTCAGCTCAAGGTACAGTACAGTATGTACTGTAGTTATGCTGAGACTGCTGCCCCCGCGACCCGACCTCGGATAAGCGGGAGAGAATAAATGGATGGATGGATGGATGTATTATTATTTTTAATATTATATACTGTGTTATTATTATTATTGTTCCGACTTACCTACAAATTCGACTTAAAGACAGATTTAGGGGACAGATCTTGTTTGTAGTCTGGGGATTGCCTGTACTTTAGACTGCATCTTCTCTTACTAATTACATCCTTGGATCAGACAGTCAGATACAACAGGGAGGATCCTGAAACATATATGTGAATTTTTTTATCGATTAAAACAACAGATTGTGATTGGTTCAGTCTGTGAATCCTTAAGTCTGTGAACGCTTCATTCTGTAAAGCTCTGGTGTATAAAGATTTAAATTTATGACTAGGCTATAGTCTGTGAAAAATTTAATTTATGAGGTTTTGATTTGCTAGTCTGTGAAGGGCGAGTAATAGAGGCTTTAGCCCGTGAAGATTTAAGTCCATCAAGTCTATGTTGTCCAGTATTTGGGTAGCCCATTGGCTGATGTAAAATTGTGTTGCAAAGGGGACCCAGTACAACTACAAGTTCCAACCCCTGGTCTTGGTCTGCCATATCCTCTGTCCACCCATCCTCTTTTCTGCCATGTAGTTATCAACTAATAAAGTTCTCTTACCCAAGTTGGTGTCCCTCAATAAAATAGTCTCCTACCTAAGTCAATGTCCCATGATTTATCAGCTGATGACAGCCAATCCTAAAGAGGCACTGCAGATCCTGCCGGCAGTCATCCCTCACTGTTCTAAGCTAGGGTGTGTCATTGCTTAGCTAGGCTTTTTTCTTTCTCACATTGAGTTTTGGGCCTTGCCACTGTTAAAAGCAGTTCTATGCGTCATGGTCACCTTGCTGGAT